ATACCTTCAAACAAGCAATTCCTGGAAGGCTTTATTTTCTGATATCATCCATATAAATCTTTAGAACTGAGCAAAATCTCAAAAAGCCCCAATTTTGCTCAATGTTTACACTGCTCATATACAAAACATCAATAGTTTCCTAAAGCTTCATTGGATTTTAAACCAGCATCATGTACAGTGACCCAAAAGATGAGACAAGACCCCACTGGAGGCAGAAGTATGTAGGGAAGCTTCTAATCTTTTCCTTTAGGTGGAATGTGAACCAAAAAGCTGGACAAAGATCACTATTGCCCAACAAAGGGCTTGGTTGAATGCGTGAACCTCGGTGGTAAAGGAATGCAGTCACTGGGAACTATAAAAGGGTTTCCAGATCTCCTGTATCCTGCTGCTCACTTTGCAGTCACTGTGTCATTTTCTTTCTGGCTGCTGCGGATGAGTCACACCCTCCCAGTAGCAAAGTAACTACAATTTTGGCCCCAAATTGAGCCAGTCCATAAGACAGAGGGAATTCTATAAATATGTAAAGTGAAAGTTTGCAATTACATAACATAATAGAAGAGATATCACCACTTGGAACTGAAGTAAACCATTAAATGACTGAACCGTTAAGAAATAGCAGCCTAAGCAATATTTTAGAATACAAATAAGACCAACTCTACATTTTCTAGAGCACTTGAAAACTGTGTAGTAATTTTAAGAAATAGAGAAAATAACATTTTTCATTCTTCATGCTCATCCAATATCTATATAACAAAACTTCATGTTATGATATCTCAACTGTTACAGTGAACAATCTTTAGGGGGTTGTTCACAACCCTCTCCCCAAGGCAGCCTAGGTGACAACCGATCACAACACTACAACAAAAAGACAGAAAACTCATGTTACCTTCGGTGGGTGACAAAAACATTATTTACATGGCCCAGCCCATTGCAGCCTGGCAAGGGACAATGTGGTAGCTCTTGCTTGTTCAGTTTCCAGGAGAGGGAGGCTCCATTGAGAGGATTCTCCTTCTGTCTCTTGGCAGCCAGAGGACAACCAGAAGCTGTGCGGTGTGACGTGTATTTACCTGATATGTGACCTTGGCCATCACACCCTATCACAGGACATCTAGAGAGAAAGCAGAGACATTACCAGCCAGGAAGAAGGCAGTGATAGTCCTATGCTCTCCAGAGAACAAGCCATGCAATTATAGAGTTTTAATAAAAGATGCCAACATAACTAGCAAAACAGCATTGCATAAGCAGGCTCTGAGCTACGCGATTTTCATGTATTATCTCACTTAATATTCACTACAATCTACTGGGTAGAGAGTAGTATTATCCCATTTTGCAGATGAGGAATAACGAGGCTTAGAGAGCTCAGGTAACTTGCCGCCCATTTTATAAGAAGTGGAGCCAAGTTCATGCCCACACTTTTTAGGTCTAGAGCCAATCACATAAGGACTATGTTATGTTGCTTCCAAGGACCAAACGTATAACACGTTAACTGCCTTGACAGATGCTACATAGCACATTACTCATAGAATTGGAATTTGGGTTTCTAAATGTTTAAATATTGCATTTAGAACTGTTGTTAAGAAAACAACTTAAACTTCTACGTGTATATCTGCATATATCATCCATGACCTTCCTTAGAGGAAGGAATTCAATTTAGATATAATTTCTCCTTAAGCAAAATTAAAGTTTCAGGGGAAAACTTTAATTCCCTGCCATATTTATTACTGTATAGCACTTCCACAATACCACTTTCCTTTAAAACAATTGAGAAACGTGTGAAACTGTTATTGTTTAAAAAAATCTTTTGCATTATCAAAGAGCTGTGGAAATGTAGCTATAAATTGGAAACTTTTCTCAAACCACCAAATAGTTTGACTCATACTTATACTTAATAGGGTACACCTTCCCTGAAACTCAATCTATGTTCAATTGCATCCCAACCAAGGTCCCTCCCATTTTGCCAACAAGAGACAGCTGACCCCCGTGTCTCAACTGTTGCACTTACTTCAGTTCAGGGTCTTCTTTTTCTTCCTTGGTAGGGGTCATTTTGACACCACCTTTCCTTGCACGAGGGCATCCGGACAAGCTGAAATAGGGACCCAACAAAGAACAAAACAAAATTATGTGATCTCTCTGACTGCTGCCGACAAGTTCATTTCCACATCTCAGAAATAGGATTAATCCTACCTTCTGTGGGAAGCATAATTTCCAGTCACGTGCCCCGAGCCATCGCAGCCTGGGGTTGGACACCTGGAAGGCACAGGAAGAGAGCATGGGCCGAGAAGTTGTAGTGGAGGGAGCGGGGGTCACACCCCAATTATTTAGGTTCTTTGGTAATCACATTAATGTTCCAAGTCTCTGCAGTTCACATGGAAGTAGGCAGGGTCACACAGCCAAACATAACTAAAAACAATGAGCTGCTTTTTGTGTGAGACTGTTTTTGCTTAAATGTAATTATGTTTTGGTTAATAATCAATTTAAATATTTTTTAGGATATATGACTACTGAGCGACAATGGATTAATTGTTATTTATTATACTTTTTTTTTTTAAACCTCATATAGAAGGGACTTGAAAATCAGTCCACAACTTATTGCTGGACTTCTGTCTACGTCATGCAAAGCTCTTACCTTTTATGCAAAAAGAAAACTTTTCCAAATTATTATTATTATTATTGAGATGGAGTCTTGCTCTGTGGCCAGGCTACAGTGCAATGCTGTGATCTTCACTCACCGCAACCTCCAACTCCCAGGTTCAAGTGATTCTCCTGCCTCAGCCTCCCAAGTAGCTGGGATTACAGGCACACGCCACCACACCCAGCTAATTTTTGTATTTTTAGTAGAGACAGGGTTTCACCATGTTGGCCAGGCTGATTTCAAACTCCTGACCTCAGGTGATCTGCCCATCTCGACCTCCCAAAGTGCTGGGATTACAAGCATGAGCCACTATGCCTGGCCTCCAAATGATTTTTATGAATAATTTATTTTCTCTGATATGCTGTGCCACTATGATAATCCATTGATTTCAGATGAACAACAGTGATACTTGTGAACTGCAGAGACTTGGAACATTTATGGGATTACCAAAGAACCTCAATAATTTGCACCTGGTCTGTCCTGCCTCATGGCCCAAGTTAAACAGTCTTTGGGGAAAATCCATCAATAACTACATCAACAATCAACCATTAAATCTGGAATGAGAAAAGTGAAAAACGACAGGGAATCCAATATCTACTAGGAATGCTAGTTAGGAATAGGTTTCAAAATATTCTTAAATATAAAAGTTTACGTAGACTTTCATCTTTTTGCTGTCTTTTTTAGAAAATCCCAAATACAAACAAAAACTAGAGGCCATCACAAAATGTTTGCTTTTCTGAATGCACACTGTGGTTCAGATCAAAAGTTCCATTTGAGAAAAACGATAATCCAAAGAAAAATGTGTTTACTATCCCTTTTCTTCAATTCAATTCCCCTGAACTTTCACAGAATGCATTTATATTCAAGTCTGAGTCAGAAAATAGGGAATAAATGCCTTTTTTTTTTTTTCAAATGTAATATAAAATGAGCACGCATCTCTTCTGGCTAACCAGAGCAACCTACATTGAGTCTTTTATCAACCATTTAAAGACATAATATGTATCCTCCATAATAAGAAAGTTTTACATGCTGGTCTTTCTCTATTAACATGTTTTAGTAAAAAAGTGGTTTTATAGCATATTGATATGGAAATATCTGTGTTGAACAACAGCTTTTGGGCATTCTCCATGAGTATCTAAACAAGAAGTCAATAAAATGTCTCTTGGATTTTTCTTGCATGGAAGAGATTTTCTTGTATGGAAAAAACATATCTATGGAAAAAAACCACAGACATTACTTATTGGAAAGCTGCATAAAATATTAAGTAATGAGTATTGCTATAGGATGTCTAAATTTACATATTTTCAGTGTATTACCCACATTTTTCTAGAAGTTAGTTTTAGAGAAAATATTTAAGAGACCCAATAGCTATAATTAAGATGTGGCAATGTAGAAATGTAGAGCTGATTCGGTAAGATGTTTTGGTACATCTCACTCTTCAGTCTGTTAATTCTTAGTTTCTACTTACTACTTATATTTTAGTCTAGAAAACTGCAAGTCAATAAAATGACTTCTAAAATCCACACTGACAAAGTAAATTGTACTTTACACTGAAAATGAGAAAAGTGGTCAGGCACGGTGGCTCACGTAATCCCAGCAGTTTGAGAGGCTGAGGCAGGCAGATCACCCGGGGTCAAGAGTTTGAGGCCAGCCTGGCCAACATGGTGAAACCCTGTCTCTACTAAAGATACAAAAAGTACTCGGGTGTGGTGGTTGCATGCCTGTCATCCCAGCTACTCAGGAGGCTGAGACAGACAATCTCTTGAACCTGGGAGGCAGAGGTTGCAGTGAGCCGAAGACTGTGCCATTGCACTCCTGCCTGGGTACCTGGGCAACAAGACCAAAACTCCATCTCAAAAAAAAAAAAAAAAAAAAAAAGAAAAGAAAAAAGAAAGAAAATGAGAAAAGTATACTTCATAGTTTCTTTTACTATTTTTGGTACTAAGATTCCAAATTTTCAAGTCTGTCCATTATCACATCTTCTTTCATAAACTTAGTTTTAAAAATTTTTAGATAAAAATATTTTAAACAACTTGAAAAAGTGAAAGACTAACAAAACACTAAAAAAATACTCTTTTATATATTATAATATAATATAATATATTCTAATATAATATAACACATGAAATGTTACATGTGTTTTAGACACCAAACGCTGATGCTGCTACCTACGTATATTGTTTTACCAGTAGATATAACAACACTCACTTTTTCTAACACTTTATTATTTGTAAAAGAAATTAATTAGTTTTGTTTAATCCTATTTCTTTATCTTTTAAAATTTATGCCCTATCATATTTCTAAGGAGGTAAAAGGTTGATTATAAATGTTTATTGTTCTATATGTACTATAATAAGATATGAAAATAAACAAATGTATTAAAAGAAGATGAGCAGGAAAAATGAAATCACTAAGTAAAAGTTAATATATATGTGACTTTGAGATCTTGTAGATGAGGCAGGAATGAGCCCAAACTGTTCTTGGCACCCAAAGTGAAAGGCAGTTGTATGAATCAAAATATTCAGCAGGTTAAGAATTATGCAATTTCCTTAACATTAAATGGCAGGTATGCTTTATGACACCTTCACAGGTCTGATTTAATACATAGATTCTGAAATTTACAGAAAAAAGTATTGTGTTTATTACATCACTCTTTTAAAAAATATTATACAATACAAAGCTCCCAAAGCAAGCAAATTAACTAAATTAAATTACAGTGATTTTGTTTCAGTCATCCCAGCGCTTTAGTGAGAAAGTGCCCTTGCTGTGATCTCAGCAGGCAGGACGTACTGCTTGTTGCTGATCACTTGGGCAATGAATGGGCAATGAACGAGAGGGTCCTACCGTGTGGACGAAGGGTAAGCTGGCCACGCTTCCCGCACTTACTTAAGCTCCTGAGAGTTGGCAGCCATGAGGGATTTTAGAGTCTTATCTGCTAAAGGACATCCAGAAACACTAGAGAGGGATGAGGAAAAAAACACAACACAACACTGACATATACAAATCTGAGTCAAATGGCGTCCTGAGTCGTGAACATACATTAAATTATTGGTGACTGGGGATTGGGAAAAAATATAACTGGCTTTGAATCTGGCTTTTCTTTTCTCACCAGTCTGGGCCGGTGGCACTTCAACTGTTTCTCGTAGACTCAGAGTTTCTGTTTATCAAATGAATAACTTTAGCCCAATGAGACTCCCCAGCTCTAATGCTCAGGATGCAATGATCACCCACACACAGAGTCCGTTCCTGCTGCACAACCAGGTGATGGTGCTTTTCCAAAGGGAAGACAAATCCCATCAATGGAGATAGTAGGTGGAAAGATTAAAGCAGCCCCTTTGCACTGTTTAATCTCTCAAATGCCTCAATTTGTTATTTGCCCAGGATTGAGGGTATTACTTTCCCTGGGGCAAATAGTCTATTTGAGTCACTCTGTTGTATTTATTCCTCATTCCACATGAGTCCTCAAGCCACACAGAACCAAAGCCTGACATGAAGTCAACTTTTCACTCATAACCCGGACTACAGGATCAGAAAACCATTTTGATCAAGAATCATGATTTTTATATCACATAATTTTATTTCTGACAAACCAAATAAACCAAAAACCCAACCAACTCACTCTCCATTTCCTGCTTCAGATAATACACAGCTAGAAAGGGTGAGAATAAGTATTTAAAATAGAACAAGACCATGAAAATCTGACTGCACATGAGGTCATCGGGTACCTGCGATGAGACGCATAGTTTCCTGTCACGTGGCCACTTCCATCACATCCTGGTGTTGGACAGCTGAGTCAATAGAAAATACATCATTAGAGACAAGCGAATTTCACAGGTTAATTTCCTCTGCCCAGTAGATTATGGAGGAGGTAGCTTCTCTGTGCCAGATAAGTTAACACAGTATAGGACATGCAGAAGCTAGTGTATCAAGGATTTATATTATATAAGAACCAGCAGACTACCTAAAAGAAAACTAAAAATCATAGCATGATGAGTTACTTCCTTAGGTATCTGTTTCAACATCACATTCGATTATTTGATTCCACTGATGTGGGAAAGTGATGTCCTAGTGATGTTGTGAGTTAGCAATCAAAGATGTTTCAATTCATTTGAAAAATATATATGTTGCTGGGCGTGGTGGCTCATGCCTATAATCTCAGCACTTTGGGAGGCGGAGGCAGGTGGATCACCTGAGGTCGGGAGTTCGAGACCAGCCTGACCAACATGAAGAAACCCCATCTCTTCTGAAAATACAAAATTAGTCAGGTGCAGTGGCGCATGCCTGTAATCCCAGCTACTAGGAGGCCGAGGCAGGAGAATCGCTTGAACTCATGAGGCGGACACTGTGGTGAGCCGAGATCGCACCACCGCACTCCAGCCTAGGCAACAAGAGTGAAACTCTGTCTAAAAAAAAAAAAAAAAGAAAAAAAGAAAAAGAAAAATACATATGTTACAAAAAATAAATATTAGAAACCCACGCTTTACTATGATACCAGCACCAATTGTATGACATATTCCAGAAAGAAATTTTTGTGAGTTTTTAAGAGCAAGGCAGCCTGGTAACTTTATAAACATTTTAGAAAACACTGAAAACCTTTGACTAAAATGTAAACTGACATTTTAGATGGGAAAGTTGCTGACAGTATGAAACAGGCAAGAAGTTCAGTCTGTAAAGCATTCAAGCAATTTCAACCAGAGCTTGAAGCCAGCAAAGACAATTGCTAATTCACCATTAGCCTAAGAATAGGCTCTCAGGCCATCTGCCAAGAATCTCACTCCATTAAGATCTGTGCCCCTGCATTTCATTTTATCTCAGAACCTGGTCATGTCCTGTCCACCTTATGTGTGTTGTAAAAATAATGTAATCAGCTACTCAGGAAACTGAGAGGCAGGAGGATTGCTTGAGCCCAGGAGTTCGAGGTTTCAGTGAGCCATAACTGTGCCACTGTGCTCCGGCCTGGGTGACAGAGTGAGACCCCGTCTCTAAAATAATAATAATCATGCAAGAAGGTAGTTAGGAAGCAGTTTTCTTCCACAATTAATAGATTCCTTGGTTTCTCAGTCATTTAGTTTCCTCTGACGGTGTTCGAAAGTCACTCATTTGTAATAAGCAGGTGAACCCCAGCCTACTCAGTGTTATTTGCGGTTGTGTCAATAATCAGAGGGGAACATCAACTATGCCAGTCATGCATCTGCTCTTTTTTTTTGACATCCTGCCTAAAGCAAGGCCTTATCCAGATATACAGAATACAGGTTTTAGCTTTTTGAAGGGACATTTTGGGATAGACTAACACTATTCCTGTATTTTCTGAGTTCTCACTTTCTAAGTATTTTTATTCCTGTGATCCACTTTCCAATCATTTTCAGGTATCTAAAGAAACTATAAGAGTTACAGCATTCCCGTCTTTCAAAGGAATGGTTGATTTTCAGGGTCTGATCCAAGCTAAGTCATTCTGTCTCCTTTCCCCGTCCCTTTTCCTGGATGAGATATCAGAAAAATACTGTAAAAGCTATAAATATATGTTAGAAAGTAAAGACAAAAACCAGTTATTAACATTTTGACTGAGTTATCTTGCAAGTGCCATTCACTCACTAAATGTAAAAAAATCTTTTCTGAACATTATACAACTGGAATATTCAGAGAGGTGTTTCAATTGCCTGGGAATTCCCACTTTAGAAATATATCGCCACCTAGTGTTAAAAACAGCATTGCATTTTGTATATATGTATAATTTTTTTTTTTTTTTTTTTTTTTTTTTTTTTTTTTTTTGAGATGGAGTCTCGCTTTGTCACCCAAGCTGGAGTACAGGGGCTCAATCTTGGCTCGCTGCAACCTTTGCCTCCTGGGCTCAAGCGATTCTCCCACCTCAGCCTCCTGAGTAGCTGGGATTACAGGCATGTACCGCCACGTCCGACTTATTTTTGTGTTTTTAGTAGAGATGGGGTTTCACCATGCTGGCCAGGCTGGTCTCGAACTCCTGACCTCAGGAGATCCACCTGCTTCGGCATCCCAAAGTGCTGGAATTACAGGCGTGAGCCTCCACGCCTGGCCTATTTTATATTTTTAAGTTACTCCCATTAATATTGCCAGGAGAAGCCAAGAAGTGCCAGCGGTTTTTAAACATCAGCTATAAATTACCTATAAAATATAATAATAAAATATGCATTTAATTAGCTGATAATTTATTTTTAAGTTTGGTGGTATTAAAAGTTCAAGAAATGATGAAAGAACTGGAGACAACGTTATACAGGGAAAAGTTGCAGTTTAGAATTTTGATAGCTAGACTAAATTCCAAATCTAGAGTGAAATATCTTACATAATGACATGTGCCAATATTAGTTGGGTGATGTATTTTGGGAAAGTTTCCAGATGAAAATATAAAAATTGGAAGAAAGAAACTAGCTAGTTTTCTCAATAAGTGGCACTGAAACCATAAGGAAATTCTAAGATAAATAGTGACATCCAAAAAGTCCTAATCCAAACAAAGTTTTTGGTAAGTAATCAAGGTACTGTTAGAAACACAAAGCATAATATAATAAGGACAGGGTGACATGGAATGTAGTATGACTTTTACAAAACAAATATACCAATGCAGATACATGCAAATAAGTGATAGCCATTAAAGCACTCACCCTGTCTAAAATGCATGAATTAGGCTGGGCACAGTGGCTCACGCCTGGAATTCAGCATTTTGGGAGGCCATGGTGAGTGGATCACCTGAGGTCAGGAGTTCGAGACCAGCCTGGCCAACATGGCGAAACCCTGTCTCTACTAAAAATACAAAAATTAGCTGGGTGTGGTGGTGGGCCCCTGTAATCCCAGCTACCCGGGAGGCTGAGGCAGGAGATTGAACCTGGGAGGTGGAGCTTGCAGTGAGCCGAGAACATACCACTGAACTCCAGCCTGGGCAACAGAGCAAGATTCTGGCTCAAAATAAATAAATAAAATAAAATAAAATGGATGAACTATGAGGCCTCTGAGAGAGTAATTTCTTAAGAATTTTTGGAATGATTATATTCAAAAAGTCATTCAAAATCTTTTTGAAATCCTTCCTCTTTTATATTTACCTTCACACCATGGAGAATTACCCTTTGCAAAATAATCATGCTTCATTTTTCTGACCCAAAATGGTATTGCAGGTTAATTTTCAATCTTTTATACTACATTTAGTTTGGGATGACTTTTATCAATTTCCAACAATCTACCTTTGAAGGATAAAAATTTGCCATTTTTGAAGATATTAAAAATAACACATGGAAAAAAATACACACAAAGATGAAAAGTTTCTAACAGCAGGTCCACGTGGGAAAAGGTGTCTGGCTGGCCTACGTGGCTTCTAAGAAATTTCTAAAAAGTTAGAAGTGACTTCTAAGGTCTCAAGTCACTGAACCTGAAACCGTGTTCAATCCGATTTAAGTTCCAGCATGTTTGGAACCATCCGTTACCATCAACTACCAAGCCCCAGGCAGACATCAAGTTTATAAGGGAGCATGCTATTTCAGCCAGTAATGTTTGCCTACAAAATCCTTCGAGAATGCAGAGTCAAGCTTATTTTAAAGTCATTCACATGTCAACAGGGCAATCCGATGACAGACTTGGAATAATTTTTACTGAACACCTACTATGTGCAAGGCCCTGTCGTTGGCACCTGCATTTGAAATGTATTGCCTGCTCCCAAGTCACTGTCCATGTAGGTGGGTAAATAAGAGGTTGCACAGTGCATATCATGCACCAATGGTGTGAACAAGGTAGAGAAGAGGAAATAAGGGGAAATAAGAGGTTGCACAATAGATATTAGGAACCAATGATGCGGACAAGGTAGAGAGCAAAGACAGAGGAGAGAAGACCCCCAGCACCCACTTCGTGCCCTCTGAGGCTTTGTTCTTGGTGAGGGAGGCAGAAAATAGAGGGGAGGGAAGTGAAGAAAAGATCTGGGAATGGGAGCATCAGGGCTGGGGGTGGGGAAGCACAGTAGCTTGAAGGCCTCTCACATAAGTGATGTTTGAGAGAAGAGCTGTGCTGAGGGAGGAGAGGATGTGGGCCCTGCAGAGGCCTTGGGGACAGCATTCTGGGCAGAGGGAACAGCAGGCCTAAGGCCCTGCCTAATTCCTGGAGTGCTTAGGGGAAGCAAGAAGCACAAAGCGGGAGGCTGGGGGAGGGGAGCACTCACTGCTCCTGTGGGGTGGTGGGTGGACATGTGGAGGTCACAGCACGGTGGCAGCCAAGGAGTCCTCAGCAAGAGTGAGTGCAGATAGCAGGAAGGAAGGGTTCCAGGATGGAGCTTAGAGGCACCCTACTCTTTAGATGGCTACACATGAGTCTAGAAGGGCTAGCAGTGAGATGAGGGAAGAGTCCAGAGGTGAGGCATCCTAGAGGCCAAGTGTAGACAATGGATTGTGCAGGAGGGAGATCAGTTCTGTGGCATCCTGCTGCCTGTCAAGTAGGAACAGGAGGCTCCAGGACCAAGATCCTGACAGGGGAAGGGGATGCTGAGGGAAGGAAGGTCCTTGGAGAGCTGTCTGGGAAAGATTCAGGAGGGAAACTGCATCACACAGTAGCAACAACTTTCTGGATATGTTCAGCTGGAAAAGGAAGGGGACATAGAGAGTCCAGGTGGAAGCTGGGTCAGGAGAGGTTTTTACAGTTTTTTTTCTTTGAAAAGTTTAAACATATTTTTGATGAGGGATATAGAAGAGAGGGTACAGGCCTGTCCTAAGTGGACGCGTTACTCCTTGCTGTAAACTCTCATTAACTGACAGCTTTAAATAGATTTACATATGAGTAGATTTGATTAATATTTAATGATACATGGGAAACAGGTTCCTACATTTCATTCACTCATTCACCCACTAGTACATAACTCGTACTTACTGCCTTCGGGTACCCTGCCCTTTAAACTCTTCTGGGCCTCAGAACCCCTTTGAAAATGTGATGAAAACCAGTAACTCCCTTGCTCAAATAACTATTTACATCAAGCGTCAGAAGGTTGGTAGAGTCTTCGAAGTCAACCCTTAGATCTGCGGGTCAATGGTTATCAGGTTAAGAAGCACTCTAATTGTGTTATCTTAGTTTGTTTTTTAATCAAGAGGTTTTTAATTCTGTTAGCATATGACCACGTACACCCTCTTAGCTCAGGTGAGGTGCATGTCTAACGTTTAATTGCTGACTGGTAGAAATCACCCTAACGTCAACTGTATAAGCCAGGATATTGTAACTCTTAAGTCATGAACTTGAATCTTCGTTCCAGAATCTTCGAGGGCATGGCACTGGGCACTACTTACGTGATTAGTTCCTTTTTGAGATCTCTTGCATGAAGCTTGGGTTTAGGGCTTGGTATAGAGGCCTCTCCAGGAAACTTTTTTTCCTCTAAATTTTCTAGAGAGCTCACTGGGTCTTTCTGGAAAAGAAACAAACAAACAAAAACAAACACAGAAGTCATTAGGGAACCCTGGAAAGACAACTAGATTTAAAATCACTGGGGCCAGGATTGAGTTTTGGCTTTGGATTTGGACTTGGACTTGGACTTGGCCGAAATACCTTAGAGGATTTGTATAAGAAATAAATAAGATAGGCCAGGCAACATGGCTGATGCCTGTAATCCTCGGTCTTTGGGAGGCCGAGGCAGGGGGATCACAAGGTCAAGAGATCGAGACCATTCTGGCTAACATGGTGAAACTCCATCTCTACTAAAAATACAAAAATTTGCTGGACATGGTGGTGCGTGCCTGTAGTCCCAGCTACTCAGGAGGCTGAGGCAGGAGAATCACTTGAACCCGGGAGGCAGGGGTTACAGTGAGCCGAGATGGTGCCATTGCACTCCAGCCTGGTGACAGAGCAAGACTCCATCTCAAAAAAAAAAAAAAGAAAGAAAAGAAATAAATGAGATAATAATAATATGTCCTGGTTGTAACAGATCTTTATCCTAAGTGAAGAATGAAAAAGTGGAATTGATACGGAACACCTTTCAAAAGTTCTCATTTTGGCAAATGTGATTCCAGAGGTAGGTATTTCTTGAGCCATGTAATTAGTATTTTAGTATGTTTCAAGGTTTCTTGTATTAGAAATGCTCCCTAGAGAGCACAGGAATTGTTTATATATCCAGCAGTCATAACAGCAGCAAAGCCAAAGAAATATTGCAAAAATGAATCACACAAACTTTTAAACAGAAAAGGGGGAAGTTTTGGTTAACTGAATGCCCTTTTTAATGTACAAATAATTAAGATCTAAATTATTCGTTTAAATATGTAATAACTGAGGCTACAGTATTTAGGCATTTAATCTGATCTTTCTGGATAATTCCTTTTACTTTTGTATTACTTCCCGTTTTTCTGAAATTACTTATTTTGCTAAATTGGTATCCTGTCACTTTCCTTTCTGGATGGAATGTCTTATTGGATGTTCCTAATTTTCATGCTCTTCTCTTAAGTTTAATACCGACCTTGATTTCATAAAGAAGACTCACTAATCCTTTCAAAGAGTTTATTTACCAAGTGATGTATTATTTCACAGATAACAAATGATGGTTTTTCTCGATCACATAATTAGCTTACTTTCATCATTAATCTTGTATTCAGTAAATACAATAATTTCTGGATTTAATATTAAAATCAGATGAACTAATATAAAAAAACTGTCTTCTAAATCTCAAAAGTACTGATATATTTAAGGTAAGTAAACTATTTTGAATTGTTCAAAATAAATATTTTTAAATTAAATGAATATAAAAATACTATAGCAAAATATAATTTTAGTAATTCTGAGTCCACATTCAAAAGCAATGAGAAAAAAAAAACAAAATTCCTGGATTTTCCCAACCAAAGAAAAATTCTAAATACAGATCTTAGTCATCAAGGCAAATGTAATTTTTTTCATTAATTACTTGGATAACAATTCGATCAATTATTTTACGTAAGAGCACATAGTAGTAAATACATCGGTACACAGTCTCAAGTGACATTGTCTTCAGATTACATTAATGAAACCTGATTTAGGACAATTTATCAATATTATTGATGGTGTTAAGTGTTTCATTTGTTTTACTGGTAAATGTTTGAAAATAGAAGCCGATAAAAATACACAATTTAAAAATAAAGAGAAATGTGTGCTTGATCATAATTCCACACTAGGATGCAAAGAGAGGTGCTAGTTTAATGCTGCCTCCATGGGATCTACAGCAAAATAGATGATTAGCGCTTATCCTTTTAAAGTGTTATGCTGTAAATGGCTAAAATGAAAAAAATTCCAAATTTTAAGGCCTTAAACCTGATAATTCCACCATCCACTTTATTTAGTCCTATCTGGATTTGGCCTGAGTAGTATTTTCCACTATAATTTAAAAATGTCTTGGCTTTTTGAAAGTAGATACAAATGCTAAATCCAATATTGTCTCAACGTGGAACAGCCTTCGTTTTTCTGTTTAGATGCTGATTTTTTTTTTTAATGAAAATGGCATAAAGTAAAAAGAGCCATTTTATTACTTATGGCAAAGTTATGAACAAAGTCTCTCCAATAAGACCTGTATATTTACAGATGATTACAAGTTTCTAGCTGTTGTTTTAGGCCTGAATCTATAATTATGGAAGGCAAGAGAATGGGGAATTTTGAAAGAAATAATCAATTATGAAAGTTTATTATTTTACTAAATAATATAAACATAAAACTTGCAGGATATATGTTATTTATTTTGGTGTAGTAATATGTGGTAATGTTTCAACAGGATAATTTTATTGCATATGACCTTTTAAATATTTTGTAACTTTAACACATAGACTCATATGCATACAATTGTTTTATGAAATATTTGTCTTTTCCCTTTTTCTTTGCTCAACATTCTACCATTAGAAACCTGCAGAGAGTATATGTATTAAAATCCAGGTGGCTGTCACTAAAAGAATTAGTTTTGTTATGGAGGCATTTTATATTGAATGAATTCCTAAACGGCAGCCAGTGTAAATCAATAGCATTTGTAAAAATCTTTTTCCAAAATTTAAAGTATAATTTTGAAAATAATAATTTTATTTTGTGGTTGTGTAAAAGAGGATGTGGTATATATGTGTGTGTTTAGACAGTACATGCATGCAATGAAATTCCTTTAACGTACAGATGGAAGTTTATATTGATTTCAGTAAAGACCAGGACATAATGGTAACATGAATAACAGATAATAGCATCTGGCACTCTTAACATTTTAAGCCCTGAAATCTTTGGAGAACTGACAGTTGAATCAAAGTGACAGCCCTAGTTATTTCTCAACACTTTCCTTTCGAGATATTTTGAGTTTTTTCCAAATTCAGGAATTTTTTTTAGGGGGCATCTGGACAGGCTATTTCACTGAGAGAGACAGACAATATTTTCTGAAAATTACCACCAAAATTAAGCAACTGTTGTGCATATGAACTAGATAACAATGAATTAGAAATAATCACTCAATTTCTGGTTGTGTATGTGTCTTATGCGGTGGGGAAGAGGAAAGTGGAAAAGGGAAAGACGTGGGTGGGAGCAGGGACATACCACATTCCAGTCTCCAAATGTGAACAATAGATTGTCTGGAACACACGTAGCTATTCCAGGGAAGCTCACTGGAAAGTGACAAAATAGGACCAGGCCTGGAACTGGTTTTTGTAGTCACATCGTGTGTACTTGCCTGGGTCACACGAGTTCCAGTCCTGCACCCGCAGAAACACATTAGACAACTGTTGCTGCCAACACACCTTGCCACCTGCCATTTCTTCATTCTTCTCTTTTGTCTGTACTATTAAATTTTTCTCAATGTTCCCTAAGCAGTCTCCAGTTTTTGGTGATTTTTTTTTTCTTTTCCTTTTCCTCATTTACCTTTTTCTCTTTTTTTTATTTGTTGTAGGGAATTCTAGGCCTATGACTTAATTTCATATGACCAGGAGCAACAACTTTAGCTCCCTAGGGTTCAAATTTCTCCTCTAAAAAATTTGATAATCATCCTGCTTTTCAGGATTATTGGGATAATGAGATATTGTATATAAAGGTTCCCTATCTTTATTTTATTGTACGTGGTATCCCTCTGATAGCTTCTCAATGAGCACATTTAATACAATCTAATTTTTCAGAATAATACCTACCAAACATTACATTTTTCATTTTCAAGATTCAGAACAGGATGTGAAAAGTACTGTTAGTAGGTTACCTTGGCACAGATGAGGGAACAGAGAACAAGGGTGAGAAACCATATCAGGAGTTAGAGTGATTCAGAAGTACTTTTATGTGTGTGTCTCCACCAGCCTTAGCATCCCCAAGCAATGAATCACCCTGTTCAGATAGCTGGGACAAAAAGCATTTAGCTTAGACAAATATTCTGTCAGCTCAAACCTAGGGCAAGCACATTGAGTCCAAGAGCTCACTTAGCATCTCCAAAGTCCTCCCTGATACTCTTAGTGACACTGAATTCCGACATAGCTTCTAAATTCCAGATGTCACAATACTTAGGTTGAAAACTGTAGCAGTCCAAGCCTGTGTTGTCAGACCTGGAGTAAGTAAGCCATTCTGTAAAGAGCATAAATCCACTCTAAAGAATCCCATTTTGTGTGTGTGAATTTGCTGGGAAATGAAATACTGTCCCAGATATATACGCATGAGATAAAAACATACTCAAGTTGAATCTATAAAGCTACAAAGATAAATCCAGATGATTTTTTGAAATTAAGCAAAAGCAGGATTAAAAAGTAACGTAAAATATTTCTTACGAAATCTCATTTTCTGGCATTCTAGGTGATAAGAACTGTGGCTAAGGAGGTGATAGGAATGGGTCTCTGAGAACATGAAGAGTGCAATGTTGACATCGTTGCTGAGGGCACAAAAGTATAATCATTGTCAAACAATGCAAGACACCCTAGATGAAGATGAGAACCTACTTGAGGCAAATGTGTTTTGTTACTACCCAGGATTGGATGCTTATGCCTGACACTTTCTGGTGAATGCATTCGCCATAATCACAAGGATGAGTGCAGAAAGCCCAAATGCCACTCTGCACATGGCACTGAGATACTCCCAGAAATGAGAACATGTTGGGATTTTGAACCTGCATGAAGCAGTTATACTTAATTCATGAGACACTGTCCTTCCTGTAACATAAGGACTTCTACTGGACCCACATCCACACATCCTGGGCCAAGGGTCAAGTTTCCCTTTAGGGCTGTAGATGCAATGTGCCATGATCTGAGCAGCAGTGGCCTGGCTGGAGATTAAGCAGTCGTGTGAGTTGAAGGACATTCCCTTACCCAAAGCTAACTCTGCGTCAACAATTTTGATCTCATCACAATTGTGCCTCTTAACCTTCCCACTTCCTAGCTTACTGCTTACTTCCATTTCAGTCAAGATGTGCAGGATACTCGAGGGATGTGAACACTGACAGACTTTTAGATGATACACATAGTCAGAATTAGGTGTAACCTCTGTTCTTTGGCACAAGTCTGAGGTGGCAGTGGGCACAGTGGTCGGGGGAAAGATGCACTCTTGCCAGTTTGTGGTCGTCATTTAAGGGAAATGAGCTTCTTATACTTTGCATGTGTCAGTTTCATGTTCGTTATAGTCAAACATGTATTATTTTAATAAATGATTCTTCTAAAATAGTACTATGATAGATTAATTAAGGCCATCCTTAGATGCTTTGGGTGAATCTTGAAAAGTCAAGCAGAATGAAATGACTAAGGCCAGTATGAGAGAATCGAATCAAAAGCTGCAGTGTGTGAATCCCCTCATCCTTTCATGTGATGGCTTGAGTGGTGGAGACACACAGGCTGCCTCAGATGCTGAGGGCGTCTTCCAGGGGTCCACACCCAGCCACCTGATGCAGTTAGCCATTCCTCCCTCTCCACATTAAGTGCCTGTGCATGTTACTCTGTTTATCAGTATATTTGGTTACAAGTTAGTCTTCTGAGTACACATATGACTGTGGCACACAGGCATAGTAGAAGCGTGTCCTATTCATTGCTGTATATCCAGGTCCCATGTCACTGACTGGACTTGGAGATCTTGGCAAAACTGTGCTGAATGAAAGAAGGAAGAAAGACAGAATGGAAGGAAGGAAGGGAGGGAGGGAGGGAGGGAGGGAGGAAGGGGAGGGGGGAGAGGAGAGGGGGAAGGGAAGGGAAGGGAAGGGAAGGGAAGGGAAGGGAAGGGAAGGGCAAAGGGAAGGAAAAACAGCCCAATCTTGTGATCAAAACTGTGTATGTTGACTTATACTCTGAGATGTTAAGCATGTGCAAAAATCAAATTAGATCTCACCACCCAAAGTCTCTAAACTTCAAAAAGCTGTAAAGGGTGTTGCACACTTCTGCAGAGAATGGCTATTTCAGTTCTTTACACATATCAACTGGCAAGCCTATCAACAACTTCCCTGACAAACAGCTAAATAGGATTACTTACTGTAATAATTAAGGTCACATCTGCAATTACATAGAGTCTAAACAATTGAGAGTTCTGACTATCGGTTCTTTTGAATGACACTGAGTAGTCCATGGCTAATCAGGCCTAGTCAGGTGGCTCAAGCCATAAGGCAAAGGTTAGATGGATTCCTGCACCGTCGCACCATCTGGCTTTCGGGGCCAAAACCACCTCCAAGATAATCAAATACACAAATAGATCTCCTTGACTTTAAGATTAATTTGATTTAGACATCCAACATTTCGATCCAATGCCTCAAACAATGAATCTATACATAGGTATGCTAACACAGTTCCTTCACAAAACCATGGAAAGAAATCTGACATGACTCAGAGATTCTTACTTGACCCTGATTTGATTTCATCTTCAACCCTCTGGTTCAGAGAGAATTAGTAAGCTGGCATTTCAATGTTGAGCAATACATTGCCCCTTACAGCTGTTATATGAAGGGATAGATAATATAATCTCTTGGGCAGGGCACAAAATTTCAGCCTTAATAGGAATAAAATTCACTATAGTGACATTATTTTAGGCAAGTGATAATGAAAGTTGGATTTGTTAATGAATTTCCTCTGGCATTAAAAATCATCACTTTATCAAAATCTAAAGCAAGGTACAAAATTACATATCATCTAAACAGGAATGTGAAACATAATTTAGGAGGGAAGAGCTAGTGATACCCTGCAATCACACTGTCTTCAACTTACTGATTGACATATGGAAACAGTACCTCTTTCTCCTCCTCTGTCTTCCCGTGAGTTTTGCTATAGTTGATAGGAGTGTCCCAGCCCTCTTGGTCACAAAGAGCCTGATAGAATGCCGCATTGACCAGAATGCTGCTTGTTTTGAATGGGGAAGAGGAAGGAGTTGGAATAGAAGTGTTAGAGGAAGTTAGGGGTGCAGCCTTGTCCAGGATTCGATTTTTTTTCATGCTTAAGTCCAATGTGCCATTTTCATCCACTTCTATTTCGGCTCCCTAGTATACAATAGGAAACAGAAACACATGTAAGCAGTTTGCAGTTACAGCCTAGCCATGTGGGGCTTTTAAGGGATCATTTTAAATGTAAGCTTTTATGTAAGTATATCTGCTTTTAAATCTAGCTTTCTGATTTGCATTGGGTAATGTTCAATTCTTAGGCAGACTTTAAGAACAGCCCCATTAGTGAGCTTTGTGTTTCTGGGTTTAAACAAAGTAAGCTTAATGTAAATAAGATGCTCCAAATACTAAATGTATTGGCTAAAATGGTTTTATGGAAAAAAAAATATATATATATATACACACACACACACACGCACATATACACACACATTTACAAGTTTAGCTTTACATCTTCTTTTCTAGTTTACAGAATTATCACTCCCAATTCATCATTTAAAGCATTCACATTTGTGTTTATCAAAAGGCATGTATAACTTTCCAACCCTTCAAATCATAATATTAATCTCACATGAGAAATATGCAAAAATAACCCGCTGGAAGATAATTTTTATTGGAATATTAAACTAATATAAAAGCAACATTTTACCCTAGGCTATTTGAGCCGTAAACGCTTTGCTCAACTGTAGGGGGCAGGGACACGGAGGCAGACAGTGCAAACCACACTTCACCCGGTGGTGATAGAGGGCGTGCTTTGGGTAGCAGCTGACAGCCTGACTGAGGTTGAAGCCCTATAGTGAAAACTTCAGAATACTACAAAAGGGCTTATTTTCTCCACATTTAGTGTGAGACTTAAAACTAAATTCACTGCACAATATTTCTTCTTGAGATACCTTCTACCTTTTGCCATGTGTTATTTCTTGGTTTTGTTTTTCTGTGTCAGGAGGAACAGTACCCCATTCTGTATTTGGTTCAAGCTCCAGCAAACTGCTCACATGCCTCGTATGTTCTGCAAGATTCGCACACTGGGACGGCTCATGTGGTGTCATGAATTGTGAACATTACTTACTATGCAGTCATTCTCCGAAGGTAGGAGGAAGGTGCCTGTCATTTTTCTAAGTGGATCAAATAACACCTTTCTGGTATTTTCTCCATCTTCCATCAATTTAAAATTAACTTCCTGATAATTTGGCTACTCTCTTTTTTTCTTTTGGCTGGCCACTCTTCTTTGAATATTTAGCAAGATCCTTAACTCTTGTGGTAACCAGATACTTCCCAGGGGATTTGTTTTAACTCTTCCCTTTAAACAACCCTCACTCCCAGCCCCTAAACAGGCGCCACTGGTCTGCGTCAGCTGGTCTTGCTGCTTGTGCCTGACTTAGAAAATAAAAGCCCTTCTTTTATTTGCTTGTTTTACCTGCAAAGTTCGTATTTTCAATCTCTCAGCCTATGAGATAGATATGCTTTACTACATTTGTGGGAGGTAAATACACTTCTAATATGCTGTACTAAGATGCTTTGGCCGTATCTTTCTGTCCCTTTTTAGTAAATAGTTTAATCTCTCGTGATAGTTTTAAGCCCCGAATTTGGCAGTACAGCTTATCCGGGATAATAACTTAGTAACCACAACATCTTATGCCATCTGTATAATATCAAATACATTTTTATACCAGCATTAATAAACCTTAGTTACAAAAATCCAAGATATTAACCATATCAGTGCCACGTGTGCTCTCTCTCCACGATCTCACAATGTATTCTGCCAGGAGCGCATCAAAACAATTTTTGGCTTCGTAGCTGACATGTAAATAGCAATGAAACAGAGCTATAGTAATCAAGTTTAATGGCCAACGTAAAGTAAAATGCTAAATATTGTAGTTGCTGACATTTTTCATAAAAAAATAAAAAAAAAAAAACTTGGGTTAAGACTGCACAACCAACATTCACATAAAATTCCAGACCTCTGTGACAGATGGCTTAGGAAAAAGAAGCCATGTGACTGGGCTGCAGAGTTTTATAGTGCAAAACCCATAAATAGTGCAGATTCGATTTCTCTGAAAAATATCAACTCTTCCAAGACAAGATTAATATATATTTTAGTTTTTACAGACAAAAATTCTAAATAGTCCATTAAGACAATGATAGATTCTAGGAGTTGTTACGATTACACATTTTGAGTCAATCGCTCCTCATGTTTAAAAGAGGCGCTTTCCTACATCCTGCGCCCAGCCTGCTGCTCTGAGCACCTGACTTCACTGGGAGAGAGCGGGCGGCTCGCTGGGGAGCAGGGTACAGATGGGCTTTAAGTGAGCGCACAGATGCCTTCAACAATTACACGCAGTACCAGAGAAGGGTCCCTTTCTGCCCATAGATGGGCGATCACACGTTTACAGCATGGGCTTTTATTCAGAGCAGTATCAATGGGCATCACTTCTCTCTGTGCTTGAAACTCCAAATGGCAGCACAAAAGGGAGGGAGGGGCTGGGGGAGCTGTGGCAGATATGCATCTCCCACCCCCTCAAACTTCTAATATTCTGATTTCTTCAAGTGTTATTCTGGATCCTTATTTTAAGTATTTAAATTTAAAGTTCTCTTGGGGGTAGGTATGGGATTACTGCTATTCATGCTCTTTCCGACTGAGAGGGGATATCCCAGGCCATCGATTCCAGCCACTTTTGAGCTACTGATGATACTACCTATGTTTTATTTATTCATTAAGTTATTGAGAAAGCACTTCACATTTTTAAGACACTATATTCTAGGGAAAATAAAATTGGAAAATAGGTTGTTTCTGCCTTCAAGAAACTTATTTTTTATGCATATAGATTTTTAGTGAAGGTAATTTTATAATTTAATGTAAATTATAATTAAACTGAAGGTTGAACTAATTACTCATTGTAATCCTTATCTTTACTACAAAATAAGAAGTGACCTAGATGGCCACTAACAGAGAAATACTTAATAAAAATATGCTACCCCTATTTAATGGCATATTATGTGGTCAGGAAAGTGATAATTATGAACACTGTTTCTACATGGAAAATACTTGTATCACTGACAGCAGAGAACAATGTGGCATTCCTACTATATTTGCAACTAGGGAAAAAAGAGAGAAATGTGTTTTCTGAAAAAGAACCAAAAGGAAAATACAAAAACGATTGTAGGTCTTTGTATATAGAAGGTAGGCTTGTGGCTATTTTCTTCTACTATTTTTCAGGCAAATGATAACATTATATTGTTTTAGCAATTTTAAGTGATCACACATTCAAAGTTTGCGACAAAGTAAAGATAAAATTGGAATTTTACCTTAAATGTTATCTTGTGAAAATTATTAATTTTCTAAACATTGATAAAACAAGAAAGAACTGTTTTCCTGACTTGGCAAGCTGTCTGCTGAATACAGGATGGGTCACCTGCCATCTTTTCCCTGTTGACTTGGCTGAGAGGAAGTGCAAAACTAAGTGTCCTTCTGATTAGGTTTCTGCCATAATTAGCCCCCGGCTTTCATCTAGCAGCTGATGTTTTTTATTCTTGCTTCAAGGTTTTTTGTTGTGGGGGTATCTTTTCCATACTGAAAGCTATGTTAAATATGTTTCCAAAGTAAGCAGGGTATTAACAGTAAACAGATGAAACGAAAATATCTTATTCTTACTAAATGGTAATTATTAAAGCTGTTTAGATTATAAATTTGCAAAATACACTCAATATAAACAGAGGAGAAATGATCGGAGAAGAAATAACTAATATAAGGTATAAAATTTAAATGAAATTTAACACAGCTTCCCCAAGATCTTTGGGACTTGGAATCACAGTCCACGCTGGTTGGCCAGGAGCTTAGCTGCTCTAAGATCTTAAGAAGAGAAGTTAGACAGGCATTAGTTAAAATTTCTGTTCCAATAATTATGGTTGTGCCACTCAGAGAAAGTACTTTAGTATCTCTGTACTACTGTTTTTTCATCTGCAAAATGGGATAATAATATCTGCTTTACAGAAATTCTAGGGGATTAAAAGGGATTAATGTGAGCCACATGCTTACTTATAGTACCTGGCACATAATACGTCTTGCATAAATGACAGCTGATAATCATAATAATTTGACCGAGTTTGTTTTTTCAACTTTTACTTTAGATTCAGGGATTTGGACGAGGTTTCTGAATACCAAAAAAGACATGTCCTTAGGCTACTATACACAGGGCTAAAAAGCCAATTATTAAATAGCTGGTTTCCTTGCACCTGTATCAACCAGTGCCTTGTGATCCCTGACCCAAGACCCTCATAACATTTCACTCAGAATGTGTGGCAAATCTGCCCCACTCTTCAAGTTACCAGAAAAGGCGGCATCAGGGTTCTCACCGCCCAGAGGGTCGCCAGACTTCCTGATACTAGGCGGCAAGAATGGCGATGCCACATCATGTTATTTCTAGGCCTTGTTCAAGCACAAAACAGACTTTGAACTTTAAACATTTCAAGCAAGTGTCAATTTTTTGTTTTCTTTTAAGGCACACTCTGCATATGCCATTTTGTCTAAACAGGTGGGGAAAACACCAAAACAAACAACAGAATGCCTGGCAAGCAGCAGTGATGAGGATAAAGATAGACTGTAAGGCCTGTTCCTACCTCTGGTGATCAGGGTGGGAGGAAGGAAGAAAACGGGGGTGCATCTGCCTGAGGCCTGTACCAGAGGAAGATGCTCAGGAGGCCCAGTAGACCCAGGACTCTCTCCCACCTGTGGCCCTGTGGCAAGACCAAAGGGGAGCTCTTTGGAACTGTGGCCCCTTTGTGTCTTCCAAATCATATTAATTCCAAATTAAAATGAAGGACACTATATGCATCTTACAACCAAGTTCTAGAATCAGGCTGGGTACAGTGGTTCGTGCCTGTAATCCTAGAATTTTGGGAGGCTGAGGCAGGAGAATCTCACTTGAGCCCAGAAGTTGAAAGTTGCAATGAGCTGTGATCACACCACTGCACTCCAGCTTAGGTGACAGAGCAGATCTTCTCTCAAAACAAAAAAAAAAGAAAGAAAAAAAGTTTTAGAATAAAAATAAAGTTGATATTGTGGCCCAGGCCTGTAATCCCAGCACTTTGGGAGGCCGAGACAGGCAGATCACCTGAGGTCAGGAGTTCAAGACCCGCCTGGCCAACATGGTGAAACCCTGTCTGTACTAAAAACATACAAATTAGCCAGGTGTGGTGGCGCAAGCCGGTAGTCCCAGCTACTTGGGAGGCTGAGGCAGGAGAATTGCTTGAACCCGGGAAGCAGAGGTTGCAGTGAGTGAAGATTACACCAATGCACTCCAACCTGGGCGACAGAGTGAGACTCTGTCTCAAAAAAATAATAATAAAAGAAAATTTTAAAAAATTAAGTAAATAAAGCTAATACTTCAGACAAATTTACCTTTAACCATTATGTCATCCACTAAGCATTGATAGTGTTAATTGTTTTCTCCTGATTTAATTCCTCAAAGAGATACATATTGGTGGTACAAATATGTTATATCTATGCTGGATTGTATTTTAACAAATAAATAATTCCTTTGAAAATCTTCTGCCTTCGGGACATAATGGGCTCTGGTTTGGGCAGTGATTGGCAATGTCACAGCACTGGTGCCTTCAGACTGGAGCGTGATGGGAGCCTACACTTGAGGCATGCTGGTTGAGTGAATGGATGACCATGTGAACAGCAGCATAAGCCCTCTGTGTTGGGAAGGGGTGGATCAGTGACATGTTCCAGTTTTGGGAGCCAAGAGACTTTGCAAGGAGGAGAACATTTTGGAATGTCCATATCATCCTTCATTATATTTTTAAAGTGTGTAGGAAATCAAAGTTTTTTTGCCCCTCTGAAAACAACCTATGATCTTCCATAAGAGTAGCGATTTTACAAAGCACCAATTCAGATTGCCCATTAAGCTTGGAGTCCGTTGTAAGATTGCGTACAGCCAGTTAATCTGTATTAGCCCCAACATGTGGGCATGAAGGCAATTTCAAAGTTAGTGTTCTTTGGCTTGATGTCAAAAAGGTTGTGCCCATGGGTGACGGTAAGATCTGTAATTCATGCTCCTATGGGATGCTTTATGCAAATAAGAGATGCTCATTGTGTAAAAGAAAGAACTGGATGCAAATAGAGGGGAACTAAGAAATCAGCCCTCAACCAAGTTCTGGTCAAATTCCCTGCAAAGCCAGCATGCCTTTCCTGGACGAAAGGAAGCTCGCCTCTTCAAGCTTAGCTCTCTACCCAGAAGGCAGGGACAGCTCCCAGAGGGTCACTTCTTTTCTCCTGCTTTATTGGTAAGCTCCTCAAGAGCAAAGTCTATGACTGACCCTAACCTGTGTCCAGCACTTAGAGACCTTTGGTTGGTTCAGCTATGAGTCCATCTACCAGGATAGCTTGCTAATATATCCAAAGTGCTCCGCTGAAGCTGTATATTTCAAGACCCTCGTTTCTACACATGAAACTCAAGAGATCTATGGATTTGAGCTATGAGAAATAAGCATACTAGTAGCCTACCATCATGGAAGAATCAAATAATAGGGGAGAGAGAATCAGGCTAGCATTCAATGTGGAGGCAAAGTCTGTCTCTGCTTATTCCTACATTAAGTAAAAGGCAGAACTGACAACAGAAAAGGCCCACATCAGGCATGGTTTCATCAGAGGCTCAGTTTCAGGGTGAATTACCTTGGCTTTCTCTCACTTTTGCTAAAATAATTATCTTTTGTTAATTCAGGAATATATGAGATTCTCTTCAACATTAAGAAAATAAGGTCCAACCAGGATAGATTCTAGAAATCGTTACAGTTGTACGCAAATGTGTGCACGTGCATGTGTGCACGTGTGTGTGTGTGTGTGTGTGTGTGTATGCATGCACTGGCAGAAGGATTCTGCACAAAGTGACCATCTAGGTCACCATATTTATCCCATTTTAGCAACTACTATGCAAAGAAGACAATTTTCATGGGAAAATGGTTTTTAGAACTCCCAGCATAACAAACTCCTTTGGGAAGTCAATCTGTGTGCTCTCTGTCTCTTCCACCCTCGTCACCACATCTATTGTTTGGTTTCTGCAGTTAAGACTTGGTTGGCACTGAAAGGCTGAGGCATGCGGTGAGCTCCTGTCACCTGGGCATGCAGGATGAGCTCCGTGGAGCAGCCTGGCACCAAGCTCTCCCGCCAGGAGCCCGAGAACACACACTGAAAATCGACTATTTGGTTTTTTGAAATGTGTCCATCTACCAATTGCTTTTCTAACCAAAAATATGTTTTTAAAAGAGAACATATATTGATAAGGGAAAAAGCACTGTAATTTTAGTCATCTTTGATATGTTGCTTGGTGTCATTGTCATAGAAGACGGAGAATCTAAAGGTGAGAGGCAGAATTCTGAGGAACAGGAACACATCTATAGGCACAGATGGACAGTATTCATTCTAGAACCACTTACCCAAGTAATTTCAGTAATATTAATAATTATAATATTGGTTCCTATATTCTCATAGGACAGCCTGAACAACCAAATGATAAGGCACTAAGAAGGAAGCTATTTTAGTATTTCTCCAAGTAGATAGCTACTAGAATATATATACCTTTTAAAATGAGAACTTTATTCAGATTTTTAAAAATGAATTTCAAAATAAAGTTGCATTTAAAAATTCCCTAAATCACCTAGGTAAATAATTTGTGATTGGAATCTTTTGAATTTGGATGGCCTGGTATACATATGTATATCTTTTTTATTTTTAGAGGATGTGCTTCTCTTTGTTTAAGAACCTCATTTGTTTAAAAATTGTTTTTGAGTGGTTTTTGGCCACCAACTCTTCCTGGGGTTTACTTGGCTCAGTTTTGTCCAGAAGCTAATTCTGATTCTTCTGTCAAATGCTCGGTGGCACCGTGTTACCTGCTCTCCTGAAGGCCTGGCACAGCACAGGCAGCAGCTGACCATGCCGGGGACCCGCACACTTAAAGGGGAAAAGAGAAGCCGTGGTCTTCAAGTGCTCAGGTTTCAGGGTTGGCATTTAACTCAGAAAATCTTCCACATAAAGCAGGGTAACATTTCTTCTCAAGTGAGTCTGGGTAACTTATTTCCGTGGCTTCAGCCATCTAGGTAGGGAAATCATTTCTTTGAACTGAAGCCCTTTCTGTAAATAGGAGTTTCTGCTCCAGCTGACAGCAGGGGCAAATGGCTGAGCCGCTCTTACAAGCTCTGTGGATCGCTGTGACTGTGGCATCAGAAGCCCTTCGCTGTCAAAGGGCATGAAGGATCTTTGTTTTTTTTTCATCAAGTTACTTCTCAGTATCAATTGGGAAGGAAAGGAGAGGGTATTGGAGAAATGTGATTAATTTCATGGGCTTCAGAAATGTGGTGTTTTTAAAACTTCACAGAATGTGATTTTGTATTTGAATGCCCTGAGTTCTCAACTCTCCCTGAATCATCTCCTGTTGATTTAATGTATCCAGGTTCTACCACGTGTCCCTGGAGAATACTGTGGCGACTCAGACTATCTTATGTTACACAATAGTAACATATGCAATGATAAAATTTCATGGGTCAATTTTGCAAATGTTTTACAAGTCACCCTTTGGTCACACATTTCTTACCATCTTTGATTTGCAGACACTGGAAAGCTTCCATTGTTGAGATTTATTTTAATAGCAACCCTCTTTTCTCGTGTGCCAAATTCCCCATCGCAAAAATAGCTTTGAAATATGTAAATTCTCCCCAACCCATCTCTGTAACTCACTTCTCCCCAAACTTTGGTACCCCAACTTCAAGAGGAGCCACGAGCAAGATGTGCACACTTTCATCCTTCTTTGACCCCACCAAACTCATCCCTGCCTGTGTTCCTCTGAGCCTCTTCCTGAGACAGGGAGGGGATCGCTTCAGAGGTGGGGGAGCGGAGTGGTAGTGAATGTGGTTAGGAACATGAAAGGCAGTTTATTCTCACGGTTCAGTCGCTGGCCCACCCTCCAGGCTCTTGGACTGGCCTACCTTGGCATGCAGACTCTGTGGCTTGTTGGAGAGGATGTCTGTGGCTTCCCTGCAGCGGGTGGAAAGGTTCAGGATGGCAGCAGCTGCTGCTATGTGGGTGTCTTCACTACATTGACCGTAGCTATAAGAGCTGGCACGGCCAGGGCTCTGGGTGTGGGCGCCTGCACTAGGCAGTCGATTAGGAAATTTCACTGGATTTGAAAAATGTTTTGCTGTTGAAGAGAGATTTGATTAGCAATTGCATGTACGTGGTTTTAGTCATTAAGTAGATTTGTTTTTTTTAAAGACGTAACTTCTTGCATTAAAATATGTGAAGAATAAATTAAAACACGATCCATTATCCATGGGAACATTAAATGAAGGTTATCCAGACCTGTTTTCCCAGAGATTCACAGAACAAATGATGTAATTGCGTGGAGAGAAAGCCTATTCTCTTAATATTTTTGTATTTACACTTCTTATGACAAAAACTCCATAACTAATGTTATGGGGCAGGTGCACTGGCAACATTTGTGACAAAAATTGTAGATAGAAAAACGCACTTGCAAAACCCACCAGGGACTACAGAGAGTTTAAGGCAAGCCCACTGGAAAACTGCATATATGTGAGTACCAGTGATTCCAGTGGTGGAAAAAAAAAATGTGTCCTTTCAATATTTGTTTTCACAATAACAATTTCTACTTAGACATGGAATTGTATTTTTATTATTTGATATGCAGGCTTGTTTTGTCCTTAAACCAGTAGAAGTTGTTCTTCATCCAACTAGATGGAACTAAATAGATGGTGGAGTCTTTAATCAGCTGGCATTTTGCATATTTAGGAAGACAGAGATAAATAAAGGGCAGGGAGGAAATGTTCTCAAGGTGAACAGAAAGGCAATTTAGTTATCAAGGCTGAGTTTCCATTTTATGTTTCTGTTGTGGGTACCAAAGCATTACTGAGAGATAGAATTAAACATATTTCTCTTCATTCTTGAGTATTTGTAAACATCACTCAAGGTTACAGGAGAAATACTCAAGATTTAATGTGAGTTAATATAAAAACATTTAGCTTTTTATTTTATATTAATATTTTATTTTAAATATTTGAATCTTACTTTTCATAAAACAAAACTTAAAACACTGGCAAATGTTATATTTCTATAATTACAAGAATATGAAAATGTCACTGAATGTTTTGCACTTTAAAAAATCAATATCCATACTATATGAGTGCATTGAATGCTCTTAGTAACTAGCTTTGCCAGAATTAAACATATATGTATGTGTGTATACTGCGTGTATATATAATAAAATTGTATATCTGTATAGGCACACATAAAATTGCATGGATAGATAGATATAAAACTATGTGTGTATAACTTTTCCCCTAAATCTAACAGGTTGTTAGTGGTTATTTATGTTAGTTGGAACGTATATTTGATAAGATTAAGTAAAATGTCTTTTAGAGTGTAATGTACCTCTCCCTGATAGGCAAATTCCTTTCAAGTCTGTTTACTACTGGGTTTAGATGAAATTCTAGTTCTCTGAAAGAATTCATCAACATCACACAATGTATAAACATTCTGTGCTCTTAAGAGCACTCAGTTTCCGTAGCCTGGTATAAGTTCAAAGGGATTCTATGGCTATGCAGAATGTTGTAAAAAATTCATGGTCTAGGAGAACGCAACGTGCGCATTATTTAGCTCCTTCCTTTGTGGAAGTTAAGTGACCATAATGAAGAAATCATGGCTTCGATTGGTTCCCAATATTTCCTTTCACACCTTTTCATTAGAATGTTTAAGGACTCCCAACAAGTTGAAGAAATGTGTAAGAAGAAAAAACACCCGGTTTTATATATTATACCATACTTGAGTTATGGTCTTCTATATGGATGTGTTAGCATTAAAGAATATTAATGCATTTTAAGTGTTCCCATATTAATGCTTCAGTTTGTGAGTAGTTTCCACAGCCACACCATTCTTCTATTACAGTAAAATCCTGACTTTCAGATTGTTTCTTAGACTTCTCACCTTTCCTTCCACCTTCAGTTTGAACGCTTTTGCTGAGTTGAGTAATATTTTAAATAGCATTTCAACATTTTACCTATTAATTTCCATAATTTCAATAAAAATAAATATTACTGCATTACAACAGTCATCACATTTTTCAATATAGTAATCCAAACTCCAGCTAACTGTGAGTTAAATATTTCTTTAGAATTATTGTAGTTAGATTTAACAATAGCATTGTATTTGCAGAATAATTAACTCATTAACTATTCACTACATTATGTGTAACTTCAGTGTAAAATCAGTAACATTGATCAACTTATTATTGTTTTCCTTATTGTATTTCACTCGAATATATTTCCTCTCCTGCCAGCTGTATGTAGTATATCATATATTTAAGTACAGCCCCCTGGCCCCTGATACACACATACACCCATACACAAGAAGCATTTTGGAGAAATGGGTATTAGAGCTCAAAGCTTACATTCAGGAAATGGTGGTGTTTTTCTTCCTTGCACTGTTTGTATGAGAGGGCGTTTACCAAAAACTTGGGCATCAAAACTGGCATAATCAAATGGTACTTTTCCAAACTTCTCTTGTTCTTTTGACACTGTGGCTCTGGGAGAGGTGATGGCTTGTGACGGGAAATTGAATTCAATTTGCTTCACCAAGCTTGTCCTGGAGAGGGGGGATGAAGCAGTTCAAAAGAAATATAGTGAAACTACTGGTGAGCACATTAGTGTCAGAATTTACAATAGATACGTGCGTCGCTCCTGAAGGTATCCACAGAGACACTGAACAATAAGAGAGATGGGGCCATGGCAGGACAGAGCAGTGTGCTCCGGACCCATAGGGCCAGATGGAAAGATGCTCTGGGCTGTACGTCGCTACCATGATGCTGCGTACTCTGTGTCCCAGTCCTCCCATCAGCAAATTAAGAATATGCAATCCTCCATTCATCTTATGAAGACATCATGAGCAAATATTTGATGCTTGTTAGCATTTTGAGTTCTTAAAGGAAAGCTATGTCAGGTGGGTGTGGTGGCTCACGCCTATAATCCCAGCCCTTTGGGAGGCCAAGGCGGGTCGATCATCTGAGCTCAGGAGATCGAGACCAACCTGGCCAACATGGTGAAACCCCCGTCTGTACTAAAAATGCAAAACTTAGGCAGGTGTGGTGGCACACACCTATAATCCCAGCTACTCAGGAGGCTGAGGCAGGAGAATCACTTGAACCCAGGAGGCAGAGGTTGCAGTGAGCTGAGATCATGTCACTGCACTCCACCCTGGGAGACAGAGCAAGACTCCATCTCAAAAAAAAAAAAAAAAAAAAAGCCATGTTACCATCAGTAAATTCTGGTTAAGGCACTGACAAGGTGTGCACGTTCTGCTTGTTACATTTGTTCATTAGATTGGCAATGAATAGTCGCAACTGTGACCAGTGAGGAAGTGTCATTATATTCCGTTCAGAAGTGATGCTAGACCCTGCTCAGTCCTGCAGAGCTGGCAGAAATCTGATGCCTAAGAGGGGCAGTGCAGATACCGGAGATTTGATTCCTCAATTGGGAGTTTCTTCCTGGGCTTTTCACCTTTTTTCCCTGCCTTCAGTCAGAATGTTTTTGCTGATATATGTAATACTTTAAATGGTATTTCAATATTTTATCAACTGAATTACCATCATTTCAATGTGAATCAAATTTACTGTATTATAATATCTATCACATTTTCAACATAATTATCACAATCTAAGCTAAACGTGAATTATATATTCTTTTAGAATTGTTGTATTTGGATTAAACAAGGGCATCATATTTGTGTAGCACTGATTCCAGCCAAGTAAAACACAACTGATTTTCTGCTGTGGTCTAATGGTAAGAGAACATAAACAAATATACTTTCAAAATTTAGCAATATTAAAAAATATATTTTTCTCTTTTTTCCACCAAAAATCGTCAAACTCATCAGAATGTCAAAGTTTTCAATGAGTTTTTTTGGATTAGATTTTACAAAAACTTTTTAGCTGCTATATAAAAACATCTGAACAACGAGTTGATCTTATTATTGCCTATATAACCTGGTTTAGAGCCTTAAAGCTGTATATATATTCTAATCTAAAACAATATTAATATTTTAAGAAATGAGCAAAATGAAATTCAATGTTCTTTCTATATTTGCTAACTAGCTTACCTGGGGAGAAACTAGAGTATACAGTCATACCAACCAAGAATCCTACTTTAAGATTTTTAATTGCTACTTATTCAGTAATTCATGATTTTCACTTGACATATGTTCTTCACACATGTGATTTAAATGCCAATTTTGACTCTTTTAATCAAATCTATAGAAGCAAAATATTAAGGGAAGCCATATCTTGAAAACGTGGAAATGTCTAATAACTGGTTTTGTATTTCAGTGACTCAGTAACAATAGTTATCTGATCATCTAGCTTAATCCTGAAATCATTTTCCCTACAACAATGATTTTATGGCAATAAACATACAACTTCACATTAAATATCATCATACATACATAATTTAGTATTTAGATGTAAGATCTTCCAAATTTCTAGACATCACCAAGAGCCTGGGAGTTACCAGGACCAATAGGAGATATTTTAGTAATAGCTGTCAATCATGGAATGAATTTTTGTTTTAAATACATTATATGTGTTTGTGGAACTGAAGGATGAATATATAACATCACATATTTTGTTATATATATGTGATGAAAGGTAGGAGTGACTTTTGATGGCATTTTCTCCTGGCGGAAAGGTGAAGTCAGTGATGAAGGGGTGCTCATTTGACTTGTGGGTATACTTAGTAACCCATAATTCTGATTAATGTAAGCTATGGTATATTCATTCTTTTAGATTCACCCCTATTATGTTACCTTGGCAAAGAGATGACTTTCAAGTTAAACTTCTGAAGAGTTTAGTAGTTCATTTCAGCAACGACGTCATTAACTAAACCAGCCTCTGGTCTAGTGGGGTGGGCTGCACACCCAGGTCTACTGGGGCTGAGAGAGGAGGCCGAGCCACAGGGAACTGACACACGAAGGGCCAGAGGCCCCGCTGTGCAGGAGCCTGGATGAAGAGAGCACCGAGAACATCGTTGGGGGTTCATACCTGTGGGCCTGGTCAGGACACTGCCCAGTTTGGGGAGAATCAAGCTGATTTTTATCCTGGGACATTGCCAGTTTTTCAGCTGCAGCAATTGGACAACCAGAAAGACTGTTTAAAAAAGGAAACACAGGAGGATTTGAGTTAAAATGATAATATGATTTGTTTTGGCATGTGCCTCACAGCACACTTGGCACACACTAAATGTTAAGTCATATTAATAGTTCACTTAGCACCACGCACACACTGAAAGATCCCAAAGGGTTTTGCAAACTACAGTGTCAATACTTGCTCCCAGCCCCATCTCAGAGGTGAAAGGTAGCAAACTCGTTTTTAAACATAAAAGCATTATGTAAGGGATAAATAGCGAAAGCTTTTGGAAACTTCTTAATATTCTAAGTGAAGGTGCTCATTCCAATTGCAATGTGTCCAACTGTAGAAGTTAGCATGATAACTCCTTGACTTATCTTGGCATCTTTAGAAACATTTTAGGAACTCAGTTCTTCATCTTAGTTGAAATTCAAAGTGCAGAATGTGAAGTTTGCTGGCATAGTGCTTATAGGTCACATAGTACCTCATTGCCACATAATCGACTTGTAATATAAAATGTGAATATCAAACCATCAGCATTTTCACCCCAAATATTTATAGATACACAATACATTTGCATGTAAATGCACATATGTGTGTCTTATGCTAGTTGCAATTTCAATGAAATGATGTCTACCCTACACCTGGTTTATAGTTACAACCACTGAAGCCCTGTTGGTACCTTTTTAATGTCTATTGGACAGGATACAGGTAACCTAGAAGCAACTCTTTGCAATGTTAAAACAGCAATGGTGAGGTTCTGGAGCAAACGACAACACATTCTATTTGTATGATTATATCAATAGGTAACCCCAGCAACTTCAAATGTAATATTTTTTCATTATCATAACTGGCTGCTAATAGACACATTTCTAAGAAAGCAAATGATGAGGTCCTTTCTTTTTGACAATGCACATGCTGAGAATATTTCTTCTCTATTTCAAGTGTCACATATTGCATAGTGATGCAGCAATTTTCATCACACATTGCTAACCCATTATTTTATTGGTGGAACACTGCTACCACATTTTTTTAAATGCAAAGTGATTGTCGTCTAATGAGAATTACCTCCTGTGGGTGTTGCGGTTGCTGTTCACATGACCCCTTCCTGTGCATCCCGGTGTGGGACACTTGAGCACATTTTCATGCATGGCAAGAACTAAGCACAAAACAACACATAAAGGAAAGAATACTTTACCATAAATACAAAGCACACTAACACATGTATCTCTCAACTTTGCATTTAAATGACTTTAGTTCCATCATCCACCATGCTTTTTCTATTCAGACACAAACAAGTGAGCATGGAAGAACTCCAGAAATCAAATCCAGCAAGCTTGATGAAGTTTTAATTTCTCTAAACTCCACGTTATGTTTACACTAGACTTCAATGAGATGATTCTGCTGATATTTAACGTATACTGAAAAGCTTGTAACCTTCCCTTCCCATGAATGTGATTTTCCCTAGGGGATGGATGGAGAACACCATTTGTCATATAGTTCTTTCTATCTTTTCCCTGCAGTTTGAAGTTCTGTGTATAGTCTTCTTTATTTTCTAAGTAATATTATTTTGATTCTTTGTCCATCCACCCCCTACTCCCCACATCCCACTGCCGTTTGGTTACTGGGAGAAAAGTATGGTTGAGCGAACAGCCAGAGAACCAGTCTGAGGAACTGCTAATCTGGCAGGACAGCACTGAGCTGATGAGACTTAGTGACTTGCAAAATCTCACTTTTGAGAAGATTGATGTTGAGCACTTCCATTTTTGCAATTTGTTTTGGCCCAAAAGATGTCTCAATAAGTAGGTTCACAAAGTGAACAGGTCGATATTGTACACTGTAGAAGGTGGCAGCCCTCTACTCCACTGCCAGTGGACAGATAACTCACAGCAGGGCTGAGGGTAGAGAGGGGGCCAAGGCTTGCTCCTACTCAGGGCCCTCCATTGCTGCAGGATGCCCTGAGACAACACCAAGGAATGTGTTCCCACTGCGAGAGGAAGCCAGGAGGACAATGGTTACCGCCTTGTGATGCCTCAAGGCAGACTGGTCCTGAGCTTAAGGAATCCATGCCTCCAGGTGAAACAGAACTGTGTAGTCACACAGCTTAATAACCACGACTTATTTTTATATTCTGATGATTTAACATCTGGGGCCTTGCTGACTGTGGAGGGACTGCTCCTCCCAGGCTACCCAATTTCCAGAGAGAATGAACAACTTTCCCACAGCACACTTTAAAAATGCAATCTAGCCTATCTGGAACCCACAGCCCAACTACCTCCTTTACTGGGCACTCACCGTCTGGGGCACTGTTCTTCTGACCTGATCGCTCCAGAGGCAGGTACTAGACAACTAGGGGCAGCCCTTATGTCCCCAAGCCTGCTGAAATCATTCAAACTGGCCAGTCCTAAGTTTGCTTACCCTGCCCCATCAGAAACCACCATAAAGACTCTGGCCCACTGTGGCCGGGCGCGGTGGCTCAAGCCTGTAATCCCAGCACTTTGGGAGGCCGAGACGGGCGGATCACGAGGTCAGGAGATCAAGACCATCCTGGCGAACACAGTGAAACCCCGTCTCTACTAAAAAATACAAAAAACTAGCCAGGCGTGGTGGCGAGCGCCTGTAGTCCCAGCTACTCGGGAAGGCTGAGGCAGGAGAATGGCGTGAACCCGGGAGGCGGAGCTTGCAGTGAACTGAGATCTGGCCACTGCACTCCAGCCTGGGTGACAGAGCGAGACTTCGTCCCAAAAAAAAAAAAAAAAAAAAAGACTCTGGCCCACTGTCTGCACTCCCTCTACCCCTGAACTCCCTGTGCTTTCCTGGGTGGCCCTCGATGCTGTGGCCTGGCCCTTCCTTTGGGCACTGTGAGGAGCTAGCTGTTTTCCTATGGCAATTGTCTCTTGATCTGTTGGCTTTCTTGCACCTTGAGTTTTCTATAAATACACTGTGTTTTAAAACCCACAGCTAGATGGAATTGGCTTGACACAGTTTAAAAAACTCAGTTTCCATTCCTAATTCCAAATTGGGGGAGAAAGATCTTGATGATCAGGCGTGCATAAGAAGGAGGCTTCTGCTTTGAGGGACAAGCGGTACTCACTTTCCAGGGGAACCCGCACTTTGTGGGGACAACCCGAAAGGCTGCGGTGGTGGGGGTAGAGCCCCGTCACGTGTCCCGTGCCATCACACCCAGGGATCGGGCACTTGGTCTCCCTTTTTTCAGGCCTTGGTGAATCTATGGAGAAATTAAATTGAGAAATGCATTTGGTTATTCTTGTTTTTCTTCCCATTCAATAGAATGGCCTTGCAGGGTAACATTCTCACTTCATTCAGTTTTACTGTTATAAACATTCTTCTCACGTTGCCTTGAATAAGACCCTCAACTAAGACCTGTGGAAACAGAAAACATGTTTTCAATTTTCTTGGTTTCATAAGTAAAGGCTGACACAGGGCAAGGGAGTGTTAAAATACAGAGATGGTTTTAAGTTGTCATGTCACATATTGCAGTTAGAGCCTCATTATGAAAAATCAACCCTGTGCCAGGGGATGAACAGGCTCCCGAAAAGAAAAAAAAGTCAGAAAGAATTTATTTAAATCAAAACCATTTCTTATTGAAAGTCTAGAAAAAGATGGATTCAAAATGACAAAAACAAAGAAACCACCATATCTGAGAAAGACCTGTCTGGCCTTGGCCCTGCAGGTCCTTGGGCTTGAGGGTGGACAGCAGAGCCTGCTCCTTGCAGAGCAGCTGGCAGAGTTAGGACAGGGCAAGGATACTGGCTTGTGTCCTGTATGTCCAGTGCTAGTGATTCACGATCTCGAGATTCCAACACTCCCACGGGTTGCCACTTGGGATCAGCGTGCAGTGAGTACGGGGAAGAAGCTGCTGATCTCACTCTAAATGCAGAATCCGAAAACTGAGACAGCAGGAAGACTTGGAAGGGAAATGTTCTTGCAGGAGGCTTACAGAAAATAAAAGTGCAAAGAATACAGACCACGGACCTGCAGTCCAGAGAGCACCCTCAGGAACACCAGTGTGGGTGGGGCCCATGGGAGCAGCCAGGCATGGCGAGGGACACCACCTGCTCATGCATTTTCTGGGAGCCTGGGGAGGGTGAGGCTCCAGACAAGCTTGGGGTTTGATTTTCTGGCACACACTTTGCCACAACTTAAAGGGTTACATAAATATATGCAATAAATGAGGACCAAACATGAATACTGGTGAGCTTAGAACACAGATGAGGCCTTATTCAGAAATGTTCACATTCATGCCTGAGATGGCAGATAAAGTTGAAACAGAGATTCATTCCTAGAGCCAAATTGCCCCCCTAACTTGTGCTGGGAATAACACCAACCATGGGGAGGGCCTGTCCCAGGGCACTTGGGTCAGGGAGAAGAAAGAGCATGAGAAGATGCACAGGAGCCCTCAGAGAGCGGCAATGCAGGAGGAAAGGAGGCTACCGGGGTCTGCAACATGAGGCCTCAGGAATAATGAGCACCTAGATGCTAAGAGTGAAAACAGGGGCCTGGCGCGGTGGCTCAAGCCTGTAATCCCAGCACTTTGGGAGGCCGAGACGGGCGGATCACGAGGTCAGGAGATCGAGACCATCCTGGCTAACACGGTGAAATCCTGTGTCTACAAAAAATACAAAAAAAAAAAAAAAATTAGCCGGGCGTGGTGGTGCGCGCCTGTAGTCCCAGTTACTCGGAGGCTGAGGCAGGAGAATGGCGTGAACCCGGAAGGCGGAGCTTGCAGTGAGCTGAGATCGGCCACTGCACTCCAGCCTGGGCGACAGAGCGAGACTCTGTCTCAAAAAAAAAAAAAAAAAAAGAGTGAAAACAGGCAGTGTGGTCCTGCCCGAGAAGATGCTGACAATGGAACACGGGGCCTACGTGCGAGGGTGCGGAGCCTCCTGTGCTCCTGTGCAACGGAGCACAAAGTCTGGCCACTGTCACGGGATGCGACAGACATTTCCTGGGCGCTGTATTGCGAAAGCAGACGTGCCTCTGCCATACCATGGCACCCCAGTTGCTGGATGATCAACAGTCCTGGGCAGATGGGGCACAGCAGGTTGAATGTAATGCAATTATATGGGGGCATGGATTCAGCAGAAGGGGGAAGAGCCAAGGATCCTTCCAGTGGTTCTGTGCTGAGGGTCAGGGAGGTCAGGAGACAAGGCAGGAAGTCTCAAATGAGCAAGGAATGGCCAGATGATGGGGCTGCGGCCAGCAGGGGGCATTTAAGGAAAGATAGGACCTAAATGTGCCGGTGTCAACACTATTCTCTCTGCATTTCGTAATAGACAAATTAAGAGTTTTGCGATGCTCTGTGATTTGTGGATATATGTTTTATTTAATCCAAAAATAGTGCCAAATTTCAAGTTGATGTGAAATCTGTAGACCACTAGGTCCAAATTCTTAAAGTCTGATTAGGGGAACTGAGGGGCCTGACACCATAGGAGAGTAAGTTAGAAAATAAGGAGAAGAGCAACAATGTGTATTTCGATGCCCTTCCTCTCTTGGACCTTGCCCAGGTAAGGCCACGTTTCTAAACCACATTGAAAGGATTGGCGTCGCACACTTCCCCTCCTCACCACACTGTTTGTCTGCAGGAAGCCGGAGAGGGTGCTAGAGATAAGGCAGGCTGGCTCCTGCCCAGGTGCAGCCCACTGACAGTCCACCGTGCCCCTTTGTCTGCAAGTCCCTCCTCTGCTGGGTGAAACACAGATGCAGGGAAATGCTCTGGAGGGCAGAACCTGTTTGCATGATAAGAAGCCAGAGCTTGAGCTTGGGGCGACTCTCAGGCTTGGCTCTTCCTCTGTTTTCTTTGTACAGTGTTGCATAATGAGGGTGACCTTATACTCTGGTGATGTTACACCTTGGTTTTCCTGGGACTGTCCTCATTCACATCTGATGTACTCATGTAATGGTTCATAGTGTTCCCCTTTTCACAAGCAGGACAGTCAATGACATGGCGACTATACTTACATTGCAACCTAAATCTCACTAAATGCTTAATGGCAAGAGTCTAACCAAACTAATTTTAGAATTGCTGACTCATCTGAAAACTGGGGTTAAATGAGATTTTAAAACTCCTGAGTTTTCTCCTTAACAGTGAAGTTGCATGGGCAAGGTGTCTGGGAAGTTAGACTGGTATTTTGGAGAATATGGCTATCAGTTGGGATGAGCATTGAGTTAACAGCATGGAGCGCATGTCAGAGACAAAAAACATCCTTCTTGTGCCATTGGATCCCACATTGGGAACAAGGAACAGGAAAGGAATACTCAGTTTGGACTCTGCAGGCCTCCTCTAGACTAAGCCTGTGGCTCTTCAACATGGGCTTCACCTTCTTCACCTGTTTTGCTGACTAGCCTGCCTGGTCTTGATCTTGCAGAGGGTGCCCCCATGCCTCAGGCACTAGGATATACCGCTGACTCATCCAGCCCTAGTAGGAATTCGGTAAGTCTCCAACTGGCCCAAATGTTTACAAGCACAAATTATATGCCCTTAATTTTTGAAAACAAAAAAAGAAGTTTTAAAAGCTCTATAAAATTATCCAAAGGATCATCAAATACTTTAAGATGTGGCTCAAATAATTGAGTTTCTATAAATACTAGGTTCAATTGTCTGTAAGGTATCATCAATTGTTTAACAAAACAAAACAAATCATCATTTTGTGTGCTACTTAGAAAGAAAAAAATGATTGATAATTAAACTATGGTATATTCTTCTGAGTTCAGAGATGATAAAATGGAGAAATGATCATGCCTGTAATCCCAGCACTTTGGGAGGCCGAGGAAGGTGAATCACGTTCGAGACTAGCCTGGCCAACATGGGGAAACCCTGTCTCCACTAAAAATACAAAAATTAGCTGGGTGTGGTGGCAAGCACCTGTAATCCCAGCTACTCGGGGGGCTGAGGCAGGAGAATCACTTGAACCTGGGAGGCGGAGGTTGCAGTGAACTGAGATGGCACCACTGCACTGCGGCCTGGGTGACAGAGCAAAACTCAAAAATAAATAACTAAATAGAAATGATATCTCTTAGGATCAGTAAAATATAGTATGTCAGAAATTGTGGATTTGGGGAATTTTCAGTAAATTCCATTTTTTTTTCTGATTTTTTAGTTTCCTTAAAAAGTTAAATACAACAAGTTGCACATTAGTGGGAGTGCAGAGCTAGATACAGTGTCCTGTCCTGAACCACAGGCTAGTCATTAATATTCTGTCCCCACTCCAACCCTTGCAGGATGTTTGCATGGCATTATCTTGCTCCTCACTACATGACACCATTTTATCCTTTTTTGTTTCCTCAGCTCGGAGCTGCAAGACATTATTTGTCAAGATTGCAGGTGAGTGCTAAAATGGATTTAAAATGACAAAATATACAATTTGTTTCTGGATAACTCTCAGCAATCAGAACTTCTCAACCACACTAACATGTTATTCTTGTAAGCTGTTTGGGTCCACTGCCCTGATTTTTCCTAAGGTACTCCTCTCCCTAATTCTGTGGCTCTCAGGTTTCAGAGAGACCAAAAATCACCTGGAAGCTGATGGGAAAAAAAAAATGCAAATTCTGGAGCACTGATGATGATGGAATCTGAAAATACTCATCTTAAACAAGCATTCTAGACACTAAGGATTGCTCTTGGGAAGCTCCATAAAACTGCTAGAACCAGCATCAGGCTCATCTGGTGTAAGACTCTGGGGAGAAAGAGCAGGGCAAATGCTCCAGCGAAGCAGGAACATACTTTTCCCAAGGCCTGAAGAACAACTCCAAAAACCTCCTCAAAGCACACCTACTCTCTCATTGAAGTTTGGCCCAGAGATGTACGAGCCCCGAGTTAGAGAGCCAGTGAAAGTGTAGGCTCATAAATGCATTAACATCCAGGTTTATCCCAAAAAGGACCAAAGCATCCTGCCTGGCTTGCAGTTAAATAATCCAAGAATGAGGGTGGCAAAGAAAAATTAAGTTTCTGGAATTGATTTAAGATCCAGTAAATACTGATGTACTTCCAATAATGTCAAATAAAGTTATTTCTAAAGGTATGATGCATTTTTAAAAAGCAGTTAAATTAAAAGAAATAGATTCAATGAACTTTTTTTCATGTGTGAAAATACCCAAAACTAACACAGCTTGACTGGAGAATAATCTAGGGAGTGGGGGAAAAGAAAGAAATTGTTTATTTTATAATTATAAATTGATTTTTAAGTTGCATTAAACTGTCAAAAAGCTATCTGAAAAAAAATCAAATCTGACTTTTTTTTTTCAAACCCTAAAGCACTTTTATTCCTAAAATAAATGCAAAAATGAGTCTTACGTTTATTGTGAAAGATTTGTCTTCCACCCATGTCGATAACTTTGGTTTGCCTCCTTTCCCCTGCTAGGTGCTCCAGCAGGAACCTGTCCAGTTCTTTGTAGGTGTTATGGAAAACACAACCTCGCTCAGCCTGCAGAGCAATTGCCTGCTCCAGCAAACTTAAGTTCCCCTTGGCCTTTTCCAGGTCACTAGACTCTTCCGTCATTACTGCCAGGCTCTCGCTATCTTCCTCCTCAACATCAGGGAATGAGGGCTGGGTGTTGCCATCCAGGGGTTCTGCATGAGCATTCTGTGGGTCTTTCCTTTCTGTTTCAGAATCACACCTGTTCTCACAAGGGATAAATTTGTCACCCTCAGTTTTTATTTCAGGAACTTCCAATAGGTCTTTTTTATGATCTGTTAAAACATACTTTGGGACTCTAGGTGGTTTGGTTTCTTCTGAGAAGTTGGAGCCACTGTCCCAGCCATTTTCTGCACTTTCAGAGTTACTTTCATTGTCATCAGAGGAGCAGAAGGGTGGCTGAGAATCATCGATCTTGTCTCTTCCATCATCAGAATGAATCAGAAAACACTCGTCTGCTTCATCGCTCTCTGCTTTTAAAGATTGGATGCCACTGTCATTTAAGTTTTCACTTGTGGTCTGAACAGACACATTTTTTTCAAATTTCCCCAAGTGCATTAAAGACTTGACCACGAGCTCTTGATAACAAGAGTATCTATCTTCCTTCCTACTGGAGTTTTCTTGTGCAGCTGAAAGGAGACTTTCATCCATAGGTTTTATCATGACTTCCTCTACGGAAAAAGAAAACCAATATTTGAAGAGCAAGAACAAAAAATATTTTAGAAAATTGCAACCAGTTATATGGGTACAAACACATGTATTCACATACATATGTACATACACATACATATATGTACACATATACATACATAGTATGTGTAATATATAATCTCTATTAATTTTATAAACATTGGTGAGAAAAACATATATCCTCTTAAGAGAAAACTTAGACCTTAATATTCTAAGAACTGTGTTAAAAGAAATGAGCTATTATAATTTCCAACATGTGAAAAGGTAAGTGCCTCTGAGGTATTGACCAAGACAAGAAGTAGACACTTAACAATAATAGTATTTGCTGAATGTGAAATTATTGTTACTGTACTTCTTATATTCCCAACTCTTAGGCAACCAGAAGAAAATCAAATATATATAATAGTATACATTGTAAAGGAAATATTAATCAGTTTCTCTGTTAGCATGGCAATGTATTTTCAAAGCCATTTGGTTTATGTTCTCTACTCTCTAGTCTTTCTCAGACATACTTTCAGATTTTATGGACTGTTAGCTAAGATACAATACATCTTTCTGAGGCTTTCAAGACTTCCTGTTTACCTTTGTAATTGTCATCCTAAAATTCCATATTGAAAGAAACACAAACAGGAATATTAGCATGATCAAATCATATCTTAAATAGTAGTAACACATTTTCTGGTCCATTACGTGCACGCACTTGTGTAACAAGAAAATGAAACAAGGTGGGGCGTTGGAGGGTGCTGAATGGTAACTAGCTGTTCTCAGTACAAGGCTGCTTTGGGTCCTGAATGTGAAGGCACCCCGTGAGAGGCACCCCGTGAGAGGCACCCCGTGAGGAGCCCCCTCGTGCCTGTCCATCCAGGACAGTCTATGGAGTGGCTATTGTCCCAGGCAGCCATTGTTGTCCGTGTCATCCCCCCCTTGCTCTGGGAGTGGCCAGGTTGCGGTGATGGAGTGTATAGACGATAATCAGCCTACCCAAGCCTGTCCCAGTGCAAGACACAGCAAGTGAAAGTGGATTCACAGGTGACTCCAGCCCAGGCCCAGGCACTTGGGGTGTGCCCAGCGCACACCAGTCTGCGAAGTGCCTGCAACACTGCCCAGACATCCAAAAAATAGGAGGCCTGTTTCTGTGTCTCAAAGGCAGGGTGGGGGGATGGGAAGCAACCAGTAATAAGTCCCTATTAAAGACTGTTAAAGACACCAAGAGCAGTGCATTCTGTTCTAATAAACATCTTTGGAGGGAAGAAAAGCACAGCCATCGGTGTGAGCGCTGAGGGAGAGAGTGTCTATGTGGAAGACAATGTGTCTTTTTGGTCTCATTTAATTTTTTATAAACATTGTCTCTGACAAGGACACTCAAAAATACATCTCCATCATCTTCCTTTCTGGTAATTATCTCCCTAAATCAACACTGGACTGCCAGGATCAAGTAAATATTGCCATAGTAACTAAAAGCATTTTTGGATGAAGGGAAGAATTCAGTCACAACACTAGCCCCTGTAAATAATGCTGATTATAGGGTGCAGTCTTTTGTTGGGATCTATTCAACATAAACTGAAAAATTTAACATTTTAGTTCCTAGAAAAGAGGCTGGATAAACAGGCACATAATATTTGATAGGATGGCCTAGCCTCTCCTGAATTCATATCAGAGGAACTCCAGGTTTAAATAATATATTAAACATAGTCTAAAATGCAAATGAAGTTTTTCTCAATATCACAGTTGGCTATTAAGAGAAAGTGTAAAGGGTTATGATAATTTTAAAGTATTATGAACTACAGAAAACAAATAAAAAGCATTTTCAGTGAATATGCTCAATTCATTGAACTATTCTCTCACTCCACTTAACTACCCACATGTGTACGATAATGATTTATAGACATTATACCTAATTATGCATATTTGGGCTGTGTTAGAGTGCTAACAAAAGCTCTAGAAAGCAACAATTACCTCTGTTGCTTAGCTACATAGTTTAAAATATTCCTATTAAGTGCAGATCACCAGAGAGGCGGGAGTGACAAAAATGCACATGTGCACGACAATGCATTTCACTGTGCTGCTGCCAACTGCTCGCATTTTGGGTCATTTCCAGTTTACATAATTGTTTGGTTCAACTGTTTGTTATATGCTAAAAGAAAATATTTATTAATTATTCCTCAGAAAAAGAGGAGCGCCACCGACAGAGGTGCCTGCACAGCACACGCGGGTTTCTAGGGATGTTCTGCAAATCTGCAAACCAACTTTCCACATTCCACCCCCCTCCCAGGCTTTCACTGGAGTCATAAGAAAAAAAGTTGGGTTTGCTTTGGAAGCTGAGAGATCTGTGATGGGGCGCTTGTTTCTCCCAGCTTTGCAATGAGTTGCCTTCGTTTTCTCAGGCTGTGTGTGTTTATTTCCTTTGGGGGCCTGGTGATTTATTTTGTGCCTCTGCCACTGAACCAACCTAAAAAACGCTGTTGTTAGCGTCAGGTGGACTTAGGCTTGAGTTCTGATCCTGCCACCCTCTCTTGCGAGCTCAGTGGGGCTGCGTCACCTGTCTGAGCTTGGCACCACCACTGGCACATTGAGGAGAACAGCTATCACCCTGTGCACCCTGTGGGGGCCACACGGGAATACCCAATAGGCATCCAGTCAAGGGTGGCTCTCTTGCCCCTGCCCCAGATACTATTTTAGAAGGTAGTCATGGCAGGGGTTCTATGCAACCCTTATCATAAATAAGATGGGCTTTTTTACCTAGGATAATTACTAACATTGACCCCCAAGGATGGGCAGAGTTCCACTGTTGAGAAGGCTCAACTCAGTTCATCCCCACTCCCAGCACACTATGCCATGTTCGCTAACTGCCTTTGGAAATTGAGTGAGTGCACGATGTGCAATGTGGAGGGAGAAACTTCTAGGGGGATGAGGTGGTGTGGCTGGCCTGGCACTACCTGCTATGTGACCTTGGACAGGCCCTTGGTTGCCTGAGACTGGGTCCTCATCTTCAAAACAAGGAAGATCCAATGATCTGATGACTGGATGGGTACTTCAAGGATCCCTCCTAGGACAACAAACTGTTATGTTCCTGGCATGGTGTTCAGCTGTTTATTTCATTTAATTGTCACAATAAGCACAAGAAAGGCATTTTCTACTCCAGTTCACAGAAGGAAACTACAATTTTACAGAGGGCCAGGCTTGCTAGAGACCACATGGCCAGCCAGTGCAAGACTGAGACACAGGACCAGGGCTACGTGGCCCCCACTCCAGCTCTGCCCTCTGAAACATGCTACTCCAGGTCCCGCAACCATGGAAGGCCATATGTCCTGGTTGGTGTTTTGGAAACACAGTGACCCTTAGGAGAAATGACTAAGAACAGTAGTAGCTCATTATTTTCCCAAGTTTGGATATTTTCAAGAGTGAATTCATATGCAGAACATACTAGAATGCAATTGCCAGTTAACTTTTTTTTTCTTTTTCTTTTTCTTTTTTTTTTTTTTTTTTTTGAGTCTCCCTCTGTCGCCCAGGCTGGAGTGCAGTGGCTCAATCTCTGCTCACTGCAACGTCTACCTCCCAGGTTCAAGTGATTCTCCTGCCTCAGCATCCTGAGTAGCTGGGATTACAGGAAAGCGCCACCACACCTGGCTATTTTTTTTTTTTTTTTTTTTGTATTTTTAGTAGAGACGGGGGTTTCAGCATGTTGGTCAGGCAGGTCTTGAACTCCTGACCTCGTGATCAGCCAGCCTAGGCCTCCTAAAGTGCTGGGGTTATAGGAGTGAGCCACCACGCCCAGCCAGTTGTCAGGTAACTTTCAAGGAGAAGAACGATGATGCTCAAATTATAAGTAAAATAAACAACACGACCAAACAAAAACTAAAAGTGAACCAACCTCAACTTTCTTAACAACAAAACTCTAATACGTTAGAAAATTTCTAGGGTCAGCTCTTGGGAGGGCATAACCAGAGGGTTACAGCCAGAGAGCAGACTGTTCACTGGTCCAGGCCTTTCTCCATCCTGAGTGCATTCACAGTGCGGGGAGATGCTGGGATGCTTTTCTAGAGTAAAAAGTAAATGCTTCTGCCTGATACATACAAGGTCACAGTTGTTTATTTACTTTAAACCAAGACCTCTACTCAGAGTTTTCTGGTAATCCTACAGATACATACTAATGAATCCTGGCATAGATGTTGGCTGTTCTGCAACGATACAACTTTAAAACATCCTCTGAAAGTCACAGCATATTTTGAGTTTGTCTCCTTTAGTAACACTGGAAATATAATTGGATTTCAGTTCTGTTTCTGTAACTAGCTAGGTTACTTTTATAGGTAAATTGGCTTTCCAGGCCTCTTGAATATGTACATTTTGCTGGGAATAAAAGCCTTGGAAAAAATGAATTCATCTTTCAAAGTTCTGAAAGCAGAGTGGTTTATCCCTTATTTGCTATTAGTTGAAAGATAATATGTGTTAAAAGTGTCCTCCCAGCCCCTAGAACTTCTATGACTGTGGCAGATTTCCCCATGAGCTTGTGGTTATGCTGCTGGGGACCCCACACCGGGGCTTGGTTAATCTTCCTTCTGGTGACTCTCATTCTCCCTGCCTGTGTCAGGAAAGCCTGTGCTTATTGCTCTTCCTCCCTTCTGGCAGTACTTTGCAAGTTCGTCTCCTCAAGAAGGAAGAGGTAACTGCATGGTTTGTCCATATTCTCTTCTATCCCCTTAACAGTGATCTGCATCTTTTTGAAAGACAGCAGGTTGAGGATATGGATGAAGTTTGTGCTATAAAATGGAATAAAACTTTGCAGCATTCAAGCTTCTGACCTCAGTCTCTTTCTGAGCACTATCCCTTCTCTCATTATCTGAGCTTCCCAGCTGCAGATGATATAATTGGGAACACACCTGGCCAGGTAAATAGCCTGGGGCAACCAGAGTAAATGAGAGGCCAGATGAAAAGCCCTATGCTGGCTTGGGCACTAACTCAGCTCTCCTTCCTCGTAGTGGGGTGGGGAGTAACTTGTTCAGAGGGCCGAAGGCAACTTAGAATCTTTGTTCTTTTGACCAGGCACAGGGCCTGCCATTACTGGAAACTGTGACTGCATAATTTGACATCGTAGGAACTTTGCCCAGTCTGCATTCTGAAGGTAGTCAGTGCGTGAGGACAGCTGAATTACAGAGCATAGTTAGCTGGGAAATAATTATTTTTGCTTGCCCTTCCAATTGTTTCCTAATTATCTTCCTTCTAACACCTATAAGATGCATTACTTTCAGCATCAAATCTCTTTGGTCCCCAGTGATTTCATCTGTAAAACTGTGCCCATAATCACACATACTCGTGGCATTATGTGGACTAATCGATATCATTTACGTGTCTGGAATATATTAAGAACTCAAAAACAATGGTCACCACTGCTGTAATTTTAGCGTATTCATTATTATTACTAGTGGTTCTAATATGAAATATGAAAATAGTTAACCTTTTCTTGTGAACCTGCAAATAAATGTCCATTAGTGCCTGTAACTGTGTGTTTAACTGGAGGACATCTGGACAATATATTCAATTGGTTAATATGAAACATGTACAGTGGTCAACAAACTACAATAGAAGGTGACAAGTCAGCGAGCCAGATATAGTCTGTTTTCACAACACTCACAAGAATGTGCTGATGCAAAAGCACACACATTTTCTTAAACGCTTGGCTAATTAATGTCAGTTGGTGTATTATACTACAAGTCCAACCACAAATGATTCAAAGACTTTCCCTAATACTAGATTCAACCTGCAAATTTTCATGAATCAACAAATAAAACTGAGCCAGGCACGGTGGCTCACACCTGTAATCCCAGCACTTTGGGAGGCTGAGGCAGGTGATCACTTCAGGTCAGGAGTTTGAGACCAGCTTAGCCAACATAGTGAAACCCTGTCTCTACCAAAAATACAAAAATTAGCTGGGTGTGACTGTAATCCCAGCTACTTAGGAGGATGAGGCAGGAGAATCGCTTGAACTCGGGAGGCAGAGGTTGCAGTGAGCTGAGTTCCCACCATTGCACTCCAGCCTGGGTGACAGAGTGAGACTCCATCTCAAAAAACAAAAACAAAACAACAACAACAACAACAACAACAAAACGAATAAAATTGATCAGTTCAAGGAAACAAAAAAGTCAAGGGTGATTATAATTTACAGATGAGCTATGAGGCTTTAAATCACATGCTAAATACAGAAAAGCCAAAGAATTTACTTAAATACCTTCAAATCAGAATACAGCTTTGTTTTAACCACAGAACTGCAAACTCTACTTTCAAGTCAATATTACTGAATCTAGGATGATTCTGAACTGAGATTTGTGCTCACTCATAAGTATGCCCTTAAATCTTTTATATTAATTCTTATTGCTAACTATAATTCTACATACCATAAAAATGTATTATGTAAGAATCTCATTGCCTTTTGTTTGCATAATTAGTACTTCTTTTTAAGTAACAAATTATTTAGTATATTTTGATTCCTTTAAAATTCACATTCAGAAAAAAAAATTATGTTTAGTAGAATATACACCTAGTTTCATTTTTCTACTAAGTCGTTTTAGATCTTATTTTTTTCTATAATTTTTGAGAGTTTTTGCATATCGCTCAGCTTCGCCTCATGCACAAAGTGATCAGTGATGGAATTCCAACTCCTAGAGGCATGTGACTACCAGGAACTAATGCGAATAACATTCAATGGGGAAAAAAGAAATCCTCAAATTTTGAAACAGTAACTATATTTCACTTAGCACACAAAAGTTTGTTTGATGAGTAAGTGAAGAAGTGAATCAATGAACTGAAATGTGCTGCTAAAGGGAAACTTAAGTAACTTATTTTTGAAATAATGAGCACAGTGATATCTTTTCTATAATACATCCTTTTCCTTCAGTCTCCTTCTGAAGAAGACTCTAGTCTGCCAACTTGAGGTTGCTTCTATATGTGATTGCTATAAGCATGTATTCAAAAATACTAAAAATATTAAGGCCACAGACCACTTGCATTGGTTCATGTTGTTATTACCAATTATATTTTGGAGTAAAAACCATACATGTTGATAAAAAAATTTCAAAAACGTTTTAACTGTAATATATACATATATATCATAATCACTAATGAACATTATATTTAACTTGATCATTGCAAAGGTGTCTTAAAGTTTAAATATGCCCTTCAATCTAAAGGATTCTTTCAGGAATCCTTCCTATTAGGAAGAAAAAGTACTCTTCAACTCTAAGACTTAGTATCTTGTATTTTCTTCAAAAAGAGGCATAGTTCAATTATCTGCTTTTGAAAATGGATAGGGCAAGACTCTCTGTTGCTTATCAATGGACCCTCCACAGTTACTGATTAAAAAGTGGGTCCTCAATAAATAAATGTCAGGTAAAATAAATGTTTGATTTTGCTTCCAAATCTGAATATACTTTTACAACCATACCAACCATACAAACCACACGCTCTACATGAATTAGCACAGAGTCCTTGGAGCCAGGGAGCAGGTAAAGTTTAGGCTCTCCTCCTTGCTACCTGCAGTAGAGTGATCATGCGTTTCCAAGGGGCCATCGTCCTCTGTCCTGTCGCTGCGGTCTTCTTGGCAGTCTGTGTTTGGGCTGTAGTGTCGGGGCTTCATTAGCAGGGACTTCCTTTTGTTCACTGGAACCCCCAAAGCCGGATCTTCAGCTCTTCTCTTCTTTGCCATGGAACAATCATAGGCAACACTGTAGTGATTGAGGAAAATTAAGAATATGGTAAACTAGCATTTACTGCTGTTTGGCATTTAACTTTCATGAAGTCTAACCTAAAGCCTTTGGAAACTTGGGACTAGAGGTTTAGGGTTGGTCATTGGCACTAACAAAAACATCCCATCTGTGGACTCCACTGAACTGTGTGGATTCTATTTTACTGCCTATCAGAAGAGTTGTTGTTTTTTTTTTTTTTTTTAAATCATCCTTAATCCTGAGTAAGCATATGTTAATCTGTGCTTTGCTTGGCACTACACTAAATACCCAGGGAGGGATGAAACAAGATTTGCACTGGTTTGCTAATCCTAAGAAACAGCTAATGTGAAAAATATACCACCAGATACAAAAAAAAAAAAAAAAAGTGTCCAGTATGGATAAATCACAAGGTTTTTCAAACAGTTGTTTGCTACTGAAACTGCTTATCTCTGCCACAGTTGTGGCTCAAACTTGAAATGTCACATATCTTGTACTTTCACTTAAAAGAAAGAAGCATAGAGCAAGGGGGCTAGCTATGAACATCCTGTCTCCCATCTCCAGTCATCAAACACAAAAAAAGTGGAAAGATGCTACATGGCACTCTGCCTTCTGATTCTCACTCACTTGGCACACAGAACAAATAAAAGGAGGAGAAATAAGATTGGATTTCACAAAAATGGACAACAGTTTATCCTCACTCCTGTTCTCATATGGTTTTATTTGGAAATGCTCCTGAGGGTGGCCCTTTCAAAATAGATTTCCTACATATAGCTCGCTCAGAATTAATGCAGATCACTCTATGTGTGAAGTTAAGACAAACATTCTCTTGGCAAGATCCATGAAAACCAGAGGGTTTAGCCAACTGTGAGTCTATGAGAGATATTTATTAAATGTACTTTGAAGAAAAATGTGGAGCTTTAGATGAAAAGATCCAGAGAAGAGAATCCTAGACTCAGAGTAAAAAGATATGACTTACTCCATCTCTAGAAGATGACTAAATCCTCAGGAATATTACTAAATAAAGAAAGGCCTTAAACCATTATTTTACAAACATCAACGCAAAAGATGGTGGCCTATTCATGACAATGATTCAGTTATAGTCACACAAGAACTCTTGGCTTTAGAAGAGTAGATTCAAAAACTTCCAATGGGGGAAAAAGTGTCATTTCTTCAAAGAAAGAAGAAAAAAGATCCTGGAAGAAGAGATAATTAGAGAGCTGGAAATGTCTTTAAGAAGATTAAAAAGTAGAGAATTAAAAATCACCCTGATGGGTAAAAGAAGAGTGAAGTTTCTAAATCAAGCAATATGCTTTCACAAAACTTCTCTGATGAACCTAAATGTAAAGTGACCATGTACAGAATATGGAGCAAAATAGAATATAACCAGATGACCATGGGAGCAAACACCGCCATGATAAGAAGATGGGGCAGGAAGTGAGGACCAACATGGACTGCGTCTGCTCATTTGTCAAGGAAAACAGAAGTCTACACCATAGATCATGATGTAGTGAGAGCCAGCACAAAGAAGCAGAAACACCCTTATGCTTGCCTTCTTTGTCAAAGGAGACTGGCTTTGAGGGGCTGAACAGGGAGGCAGAATAAACAGATCAAAGAGGCATAGAGTTCCTAGAGAAACTCTCTTCAGGAGGTTCAAGAGGTTCCCTAAAGTAGTTCAAGTATCCTGAGTCAAATGAATTTCCACCAAAAAAAATCATTGCAAAATATAAAACTAAGATCATTAAGCCATCATCATGAGCCAAGATTTGTAGCAAATGGGAAAGGCTCCTATGTCATTCAGATATTAAAGCAGGGAAAGGAAATGGATTCTAAAAGTCATAGTAATTTAAGCATAACATTGGTATTGGGAAAACAGCTAACAAAGGGTGTTAAAGTGAAGATGTTTCAAGATCCTGATTTTAATTCTCTTACATAAATACCCAGAAGTGGAGCTGCTGGATCATATGGTGGTTGTATTTTTGAGGAACATTCACCCAGTTTTCTACATCCATTACATTTCTATGTTCATTGCAGCTATCCCCAACAGCCAAGATGTGGAAACCACCTAAATGTCCATGAATAATTGACAAATTGATATGTGGTGCATACATACAATGAAATACTCTTCATTCTTTAAAGAGAAGGAAATATTGTAATATGTAACAATGTAGATGAAGCTTGAGGATGTTATACTCAGTGAAATAAGCCAGACAGATGAAAGACAAATGCTGTGTGACTGCACTATAAGTATCTACAATAGTCAAAATTATAAAATCAGAGTGGGATGGTGGTTGCCAGGGAATGGGGGAGGGGGAAATGAGAGTTATTAATCAAACAGGCATAAAGTTTCAGTCAAGCAAGATGAATTAGCTCTAGAGATCTGCTGTTCAACACTATACCTAGAGTCAACAATAGTGTACAGCACACTTAAAAGTGAGATCTCATGCTGCATCTTCCATGATAGAACTGAGGAAGGAGGAGAAGGAGAAAGAGGAGATTATTTGTTGGCATCAGGAAGCATTCATCAATGAGATCTCGGGTGGCAGGGGTGGTTACTAAAAGATTGGTCATCAAAAAGATTGTCATTTCTTTCTCTGATGACTGGAGTGATGAATGGGCCTGAACTCATGCTACCTTTAAGATCCTTACAAACTGTATCTTGTTAATATCATCATCCAAATGTACTTATAAAAGCTAGTAACATTCCCAGAATCACATTAACTGCTAATAGTGGGGCTGATATTTGAATCCAAGTCTATAGGTCCCCAAAGCTCACACCCTCTCCTCCATTTTACTACATCAGGACATAGACGTGGGTAATTTCTGTATGCATTTGATAATTGGTTAAAGTAGAACCTGGATGAAACAGCAACCTCTCTAATTAGAAGAAAGGTGCCTGACACAGGACCTTGCCCACTGATTTGAGTGAGAATATATACAACAGTCATCCAGCCTGAAGAAGACACTGAGTTGCAGCAATGAGAAACACCTTGCAAAATAATAACTAAGACACTCCCAAAATGTCCATAGCCTGGGGCAGGAGAATGAACCTAATGAGATGGCAGTTGATGACTATAAAAATCACGTTCAACATTTGGGTCCAAATAATAACTGTGTGAGTGTAAGATGAAGAGGATATGTAAGGTTTTTATCAGAACTACAAGTTTAGCTTATAATAAACTATTGTATTTGATAATAAGAGTATGTGAAATCATGTAAGTAATACTAGCTGTGTAATCTGCAACAGACAGTTAAATTTTTGGAATATCAAATTCTTCATCTAACAAATGGAATTAATAACCTACATATCACAGGGTTTGTGGATAAAAGAGATAATATCTGTGCTAGTAGTGACAAAAATAGGTAAAGATGGAACTGTCCTGGCTCCCAGCTCAGGGCTCTCTGGACTCCATCAACACTGGCTAATGCTGTCACTTTGCAGCATCACAAGCTTTCTCCCTGGCACGCTACAGAGATTTGTGCATGCATGTATGTCCATAAATGCATTCTACTTTTTAACATATTATTTATATTTACATAAATTGCATTAGATTTACACATAACATTTGCTTTAAGTCTCACATTCTGTGCATTTCTCCACTGGAAAATACCCACAGCCCCGGCAGCATTTGGAACTAAAATGAAAGGCTTTATAATAAATATTACTCTTTGTGTGTGTATGGAAAATGGTCCCTTTTCCTAGTTTTCCCCGAGGGCACACTATTTTGGCTTTATTGTGACACTTCACTGTGACACTGCAATGAGGGAAAGCCATGCTTTACATGTCACTGAGAGAAATGCCACAAAATGCTAACATATCTTCTCAAGGTTGCCAGAAATCATTTCCACTGGGTTGTGTTTTCCCATCTGCGGAGCTCTGAAATGTTAAGGAAATAAATGAGCTCTATTATCTATATTTTTCTAGTAGATGAGAAAGAAAGAGAAAAAATACACTCAGCCCTGCATTTATTGTTCTATTCAATCAAACTGTTGCTTTAAACATCCAGCGTCCCCCAGGGAACTTTATCAATGCACCAAATATCTTTCAACTCTATACTTTTCAGGTTTTGACTATCTTAAAATATATTTAAAAGATCTGTATTTTTTACGTGAAACTTTTTGGTTACATATTTGAGAAATGCCTTTACTTAGAAACTTGAATTCTCATTTGAAATGGTATTCCCTTTGATGACAAGAGTTGACTGAAAATTTTTTTGAAAAATAATTGAAGTAAACCATAATTAGATAACACTAGTGATCAATTCTGCACTGGAAGTATGTTGAGAAGTCAAATATGTTGATCTTTCAGGTTTCAGAAAAGATACATTAGGAAAATGTGAATCCCCCACATCTAGAGTTTTCAACTTATCTACTATAGTAATACATTCTCAATGAAGTTTTCAGAAGGTATGCAACATATTTTTTAAATGTAGGTTCAGCAATAGATGCATTCTGTGCACACATCCCAAAAAGAATAAAATACAAAAGTAAACAAAGATTGTGAACCTCTGAGTCCGAGGAAAAGACTTACATGCTTTAACATTTTCATGGAAAATTCTTAACAGGTATTCCTACTGATTTCTTCTAATTAGACAGAACACCACAGATTCATTGAAAGGGGCCAAGAAGTATGGATCTGAATTAAGACTAAGAAGATTGATGGAAAAAAACAAAGGTATGATGATTTAAAAAGAAAAAATTAAACTATTATTATTTGCAGAGGCATGATTGTGTCTGAGGAAAATCCAAAGGAATCTACAGATACAATTTAAAAACAAGTACATTTAGTGAGTTCACGATTCAAAAATTCATTGTACTTCTATAAACCAGTCACAAACAGTTAGAAAATAAAAATTTAAAAACATTTACAATAGCATAGAACTATGAAATACCTACGAATAAATCTAACAGATGTACAAACCTGTACACAATAAAGAACATAGTGAGAAAACCAGTGAAGGCCTAAATAAATAGAGAGATGCAAAGTGTTCATGGATGAAAAG